TTCACATACCATCCTTCGATAATTGGCTGATTTAAGTATAATGCCCGCCATATTGAATTTTACCGGAAGTGGTGCATTTTTTCAGATTGCCTCCCTATCTGAAATCAAAGAGTAATACTAGAGGAAGCTTTATGATAAATTTCATGCTTGTAGCAGGATGTGCACAATTCTTCTGAAATATGCTTGTAGCCGCTGCACTATTATTGAAAAGGCTTCCGTCTTTTCTATGTTTTACTATTGGAAAAAATACTTTGTCCCTTACAAATGTAACTATACTTTTCTTATTGCTGTCTGGAAACATGACTTATTAAGGTTGTATAATTTCAAGATGTTAAACAAAATAAATTAATAAAACCTTGAATGACACTATAACATCTAGTTCTGCTAACCATTATCACTTGGGATGATAACATTAACTGTACAAATGTACTGCACAAAATGCGCAAGTTGACAAGTAATATCTCTTCAGTGATGCGTGAGGCTAAAATAATTGGAAATCAAAAATTTGATACACACGCTAAGGCGCTGAAAAAAAAAACAACCTACACTAGCAAAATCCGGACAAAGAACCAGAGACTTTTGGGCATTGGCAATACAATTTCAGAAAGACGACAGTAAATTTCAGTCAGCTAGTAAGGACTTCCGTTTGTAAAGTCATGAAAGCTTCTTCATAATATAAGTTCAAAATGGAAAAAATATTCTTGAATATTATTTCCACTGGAGAACAAATATGACAGTATTTGTTCCTAACAGAATAAATGGTATAGAATATTTGTTCCAACAAGAACAGATATTATGGCAATGCTTATAACAACGTTTCCAGGGGGGACTTCTTTTAGGCAGACCAAATAAACATTGACAGTTATACTTTAGAAGTTATTTTACGTGATATAATATCCTGTTTATGTAACAGTCGTCATGCTCAATCACAGGCCCACCAGCCAAGGATTGTAAAAATGCTGTCGGGCCTGTAAAAATCATCTCTACAGGCCAATAGAATCCAACTAAAATTTTCGTCAAATTGAGCTTTGGGCCTGTATATTCAAAAGGTTATCGTGAGGACTGATGTAGCCCTGAAATAAAAGAAATTCCGGTAGAAGTACTCTCAAGTACATAAGACTTGACTGTAATTATTTGATATACAGAGATGGTATTGTAAAATATTAACTTCTGGTCTGATAACTTAAGTCTCTTTCATCTTTTTCTTAGGTTATTACTAGTAGCAGCAAACTGTTATAAACTACGAGGGAGAATTGTGCGCATACTTGTGTGCGGGTAATTTAGTGGTTGTCGCTTGTTTTCATGATATTATATATATTTTGTTTTAGATGAAAAGTATCTTTAGAATTTTTCATATTTGGTTTTACCCAGCCCGTTATGGTATGGTTCTTTAAGGAATTTGATGCGACTGTCATACAAGTGAGAGGTTTAGCGCTATAAAACCAGGTTCAATCCACCATTTTCTACATTTGAAAATGCCTGTACCAAGTCAGAAATATGACAGTTGTTGTCCATTCGTTTGATGTGTTTTATCATTTGATTTTGCCATTTGATTAGGGACTTTCCGTTTTGAATTTTCCTCGGAGTTCAGTATTTTTGTGATTTTACTTTTTACAATTGTGTAACCCGTATAGATATGTAGAACCTCGCTTTCTAATATAATTTGAGTGTATTTTATAGTTGTCTCGTTGATAATAATATATTATATTCTTATTCCCATGTGGATCGATTAATTGGTAGTCAACATAAATGATTCTAGTAACTTTAATAAATCTTGAAAAATGAAACTTTAATGTAAATACAACGTGAATGCACTGCACGATGTCCTGTAATCTAAACTGTTGCAGTTTAGTATTTGTAAAACATTTTGTTATGGCATCGATTAAAGGTATCTTTTCACTAGATTGTATCGATAACATCCCCTGCAAAGGTTTTGGTTCCATGTTTTACACACATTTGAAACTGTAAGAAAATTAGTTAGAAAACAAAGGGCTTTCAAACCCATAATAATCGGCCTGTTCTTATAATAAAGTAATTAAGAAACATATTTTCTTGTTTCTATTCAAATCCATTCATATATTTAAAAGAGTCTTTTTAACAATTGTTAAAGAAATTCATGAGTTCATTTACTGTCGTATGCATATCTTGTAACGCTAACGATTCGGAGTTAACATAGGAAACATGCAGAAAATTATTAGAAAGAGTAAACTATAAAGGACAGCTTTTAAACATAGGAGTTAAAATGTTCCTATGCAAAATTAAAAATTATATGATTCTATGTCCTCATATGTTGTTGTGTCCTATATCTAAACATATATAACAGTCTGGATTCGGATGGTAGGTAGTGCATTCATAAAAGATGTTTACTCTGTCGATGTATCAGATCTCGCTCCGTTGGTAGTTCATTCGATTCCCTCTGTATTCAATATGGATTTGAGAGTTCATGAACATTTACAAACTATAGGAGAATCTTATTTCAATGGTGTTTATATAACACGTCTGGTATTTTTGATGGGACGATGTTATTACTGGTGTCTGTTTCCTTTTGGTTTACATGCGATTCTCTCTTTTTTGTTTGTGGCCTTGATATGTGTCTTCTCAATCGATTTACGAGACTTCAACATTGGTAAACTACTGTTGCCTAAATTCTTACCCTTGGGAATCAACAGCCTAGTAATCAGCACTCCTGTATTGACATGAATCATTTTTGATGTCTTTTTCCGACATTTATTGTTCATTAAATGTTTTTTAACCCAAAGTTAAACCTGTTCCATATTGGCCTCAATTTTATATAGAGTATTTGGTTTTCATTTCTTCAACCTCTTAACAGATTTGGCCTTTCAACTGTTTTGATTCGAGCTCCACTGGTGAGTCCTATGCTGACGATATAAAGTATAACAAAAATACTGAACCCCAAGGAAAGATTCAGAAATGTGGGTCTGGTGAACCAATATGTTTACCTAACATTGCAAAATATTTAAGTTAATTCTTTCATAGGTTTAGGATTCGTGAATGTGAGATGTCTATCTCATTTATGTAGTCAACATACTGATGGGCAATTAAGGTACTAAACTACTCTAGATTCGTATTTAAACAATTATTGTCTCTTTAGTGATGTACAAGGCTAACTACTAGTACTTGAAAATAATAAAAAAAATAAATGAGGCGAGCTGATAAAACCCAAAAAGAACAGAGAAATATAGCTGTCCCAGGACAAGGAATCAGAGAAATATAGCTGCACTCGGACAAGGAATCAGAGAAATATAGCTGCACTCGGACAAGGAATCAGAGAAATATAGCTGCACCAGGACAAGGAATCAGAGAAATATAGCTGCACCAGGACAAGGAATCAGAGAAATATAGCTGCACCAGGACAAGGAATCAGAGAAATATAGCTGCACCAGGACAAGGAATCAGAGAAATATAGCTGCACCAGGACAAGGAACCAGAGAAATACAGCTGCACTCGGACAAGAAATCAGAGAAATATAGCTGCACTCGGACAAGGAATCAGAGAAATATAGCTGCACTCGGACAAGGAATCAGAGAAATATAGCTGCACTCGGACAAGGAATCAGAGAAATATAGCTGCACCAGGATAAGGGATCAGAGAAATATAGCTGCACCAGGACAAGGAATCAGAGAAATATAGCCGCACCAGGACAAGGAATCAGAGAAATATAGCTGCACTCGGACAAAGAATCATAGAAATATAGCTGCACCAGGACAAGGAACCAGAGAAATACAGCTGCACTCGGACAAGGAATCAGAGAAATATAGCTGCACCAGGACAAGGAATCAGAGAAATATAGCTGCACCAGGACAAGGAATCAGAGAAATATAGCTGCACTCGGACAAGGAATCAGAGAAATATAGCTGCACTCGGACAAGGAATCAGAGAAATATAGCTGCACCAGGACAAGGAATCAGAGAAATATAGCTGCACCAGGACAAGGAATCAGAGAAATATAGCTGCACTCGGACAAGGAATCAGAGAAATATAGCTGCACCAGGACAAGGAATCAGAGAAATATAGCTGCACCAGGACAAGGAATCAGAGAAATATAGCTGCACTCGGACAAGGAATCAGAGCTATGCATCAGGGTAATATATTTCATAATCAAAAATGCTTTCCAAAATTTTATAACAGACAATTTCAATAAACCAATACTAGTATCCATTATTTCCCTGTCATTTGATCACAAAGTAAATTGTGATTAATGATGCTGCCTTTTTCTCATATTGGCTGAACAAAACTATTATGAAGGTGATGACAGTTCTCATTCAAGAGGAAGTTAAGCAGCCATCCATCATCATCATCTAAGATGCATCTGCAAACCAAATTGTAAAGCTGCACTGTTAATCGTAAGCGCTACTGTTCTATGTATGTTTCTATAATTAATGCTTATCTATTGGATACCCAAATAAGAGAGTGTCCTTAGGAAAATATTGCTTGGTTTGCCAACTGCTTAAAGAAACACTCCGATTTAAACAATATGTTTTGAAACAGACATTGTCACAATGCTCATTTTTTTGTATTAAAAACATATTTGGAGAATGTTTTTTGACAGACAATCGTATTAATCAATATTTCTAGGGGAACCAACTGCGCTCGCCTTCTTTATTCTGATGAGTTTTTTTACAGGATCTTAAGAAAAAAAGCTGGAATTAATCATTTCAATTACAATAGCTGAAAAACAAGAATTAATTCGATAACAGACGGCAGTATAATCAACTAAAACAAACCAGAAATTTAATTATGCTGAAAGCCGACTATTTTATCTTTGAATTCGTACAAGGAGACAGCAAATCTGTTAAAACATAAATTTAAAAGATCTCCTCCAGATTCAAAAGATCAAAATCAGTCCTTGTTTACTGTCAAAATATTGGGATAAAAAATCACAAGAATTGGTTAAAAAGAACAAAAGTTACCCTGTTGACACCATTTTGTATATAGATAATGACACAAACAAACTTCAATACAATAATGATAACAAATACTTATATATACATACAATTTTATTTTGAGATTTCTGTTCTTCTATATTACTTTTTATCACACACTTAGAAAAGAAGAAAGATTTTCTGTACGTATAATACCAATTGAAAGATCTTGCCAGTATCTAATCATCACTGATGATATCAGTACCAATCAGAAACATGCTATGTCACATCATTGCAGATAATATGGTCATTTCTGTGTTCATGTCCATATCAATCAAGGCCAATAGCTAATTTCTTTTTTGTCTGAATTTTTAAATGTGATAATCAAAACATTTATATAAACTCATTGGCAGACAAGTGATTTAATTGATAAAAGAGTAAACATCAACCTTCAGCAAGGGACCAAGAACAAGAACAGTGGATTTTTTCCCCAAATACTTCAGACTTATTTTCTGCTTCTGATGATCATCCATTCCCAATGTCAAGATACGAGGGATTAATAGAAGTAGAAAATGGTATGTTTGGCTTTTATTATCACTTTTGTGTCAAGTGTAGTAATCATGACTTAGAGCAAGCAGGTCAACACAAACTTTGCTAAACTACCCTAGAAAGACATTTTTCCATATCTTTTTTCAACCAACCACTTTACAATAGGTCTATTCCACCATGAAGTATGTTTATAAAAAAAAAGTTTCTTCTTCGTCATGATACTGTTGTGGCATTTATAATTCTAAACAGAGCATCTCTAGGTACAGAATGTTCAAATACATGTAACGATTGTCTAGCTTTTATGCCATACTGTTTACATAGGTCTTTACATTGCTGTAGCTCCCCACTTTCTTTTATTTTCTTTAAAATCTGAAAAAAGATACATCATACCAAATTTTAAAGCTTTTCAATTAATATCATGAATATCTCTTTTTGTATTTTCATGCAACTAAAGTTTTTGAGATCTTCCTTGTAGCCAGTCTCATCCAGATTTTTAAAGAATATATTTGTTACTGGACCTAAAGTAACCAACAAATATGAATTATAACTGGGTAACAGTAGTCCTTACAGTCATTCATTAAGATATCATTTTTGTGAATTAGTAATATGTTTCAGAATGAGATGATAATTCCATGAAATCACAATATAAAAAGGAGGTTACTATGCTAGCTGTCAGAAAAATTGAGGCTAAAAATTGAGAATTTTGGGGTTCCTATTGCTCAGTCTTTAGTTTCTTATGTTGTGTTTTGTACCCTGTTGTTTGTCTTTTTGTATTTTTCTTTTTTTGCCATGACGTCAGTTTATTTTCGACTTACGAGTTTGAATGTCCCTGTGGTACCTTTCGCCTCTCTTTAACATGATTACCTTTTTTTGTTCTTTGGGATCTTCTAGCACTTCTTCTGAAAAGTCTGTAGATCTGTTTCCCAGGTACAAAACCCCTGGTGCAGTGGATAGAATTTGAGGAGATATATCATCTGTTTCTGGCTGTGTGAACTTGTTGATATCCTCATATAACTGAAAGAAAAACACATTACATCTTTTATATAAAGAAATACAAGAAAAACAATTTTTAGCATTTCTCCTATACATTGCATTGAATACCTATGTGAAAAGTAGTTGTTCAGGACTACAATGATTTTATTTGTATCTGTTTTTGCTTCTACTTTTATCAGTTATTAGAACTTCAGTAACAAAGAAAATTTTCATCTAGATGGTCTAAAAAATATAACATATGCTGGTTATACTGGTAGGGGAAGTAATTCATGCTGAAGATAGCTGTCATCTTTATAAACTGATATATGAGAACTACGTTATTTTTATTTTTCAACCATTCTCAGGGGTACTATAAAAGGCTATTTTCTTACATCCTAGCACTTAAATGCTAGCACTCTAACTGTATACTGTTATGTAAATCTAAGGTCATAAAACTATGTTGCAGTAAAATCATGGTTGATTTTTTTTTTTAAATCGAAAATAGGCATGGCTCTTAAATACAATGTATCTAAAAATAGTATAGGCTTATTATCTAAAATAAAGATGAAACAGGCCAAAAACAATCACAAACAAACACCTAAATTATTTGGTCTGAAATAGTTTCTTTTGATATAACTAGTTTCTTTTGATATAGCTAAAAACTTCTTAAAGTTGTGATTATCTGTGGTAGGAAATGTTATACAAATATGTGATATTTTTATTTTTTTGTTAAATACCATGATGTAAATACCATGTGTAATTTCAACTTTATCTATTTTCCAAGATATATCCTGTATTTACCTGTCGAGTTATTGCCAAATTTTTACCCAAGTTGAAAGCTGCTGTTTGATAAGATTCGTTGTGGCCAACTAACAATAAAGCTGACTGACAACTATGTGCCAGTAAACTCCCTGAAGTGAGGTATGTCTGGTCTAACCAATCATCAAATGTGACATCTGTTTTACAATTCTTTATCTTGGTAAACTCAGCCTCCATTGAATTACCAATTGCACATGAAATGTTTTCTACTACCTAAAAGATAAAAAGTTTGGAATACGAATCAACTAGTGTCATGCTTAAAAATTTATGAAATTGAACCCTTGTGTCTTGTCTGTAAAAAACTATGTCCATTTATCAGTCAAATACTGAAAATTTTTAAAAACTAGAACTTTTTCTTAGATGTTATTTCTTGATCTTGCAAAAGCTTCTGTCCAAGTTTAATTGGTCTCTTGTGGATCCTATAGTTGTCTCATTGGCAATCATACCACATGATCTTATTTTCATATTTAGATGCACCTAAAATTTGTAATAAAAAATACAACCTGGCATATGAAGGTCTTCCAACTTTTGTTTGTTTTAAAAATCCCAAATGTTAGAATTTTCTTGCCATTCTAACCTGGCCAAAGGGAGACAACTATAATCATGTTACTTGGCTGTCATTTTTAATGTGTATTTTTTTTCAAGACTTTCATATATCATGTATATATATATATTCTACTTGATAGAAACACATTATCCTTGAATTTAAAAAAATGGGATACAAGAAATCAGTTATTCTTGCTGATAACTAATGTCATAGACATTCTTGAGACATATATCATAGGTTTTTGCAGTGATGGAATGAGTGAAATTTTTGATAATTTTGTCAATCTTGTCCCCATAAATGTACAGTCAATGTCGATGTATAACAAATAGTACAATCAACCAGTTATAAAAATCAGTTGAATGAGAATTTAATTTGTAATATCTAAATAACAATTGAATGAAACTGCACTTAACAAAGACATGTCCTGAACACTACAATATTGATTTTTTTTACTGCCTTAGCTTGCGTAGTTCAAATCAGTGAACAATACATTTAAGCTACATGTTTGAAATGCATGGAGAGCAATCATTAACCATGTTAATCTACAGCAGAAAATTCTTCTGACTTGTTTTACTGTAAAGTGGTAAATTTTCACCAGGGGTTTATTTTCCCTTTATATCATAGAAAGACCATAAAAATTGGATAATTTATAAACAAAAAGTACCTGAGTATTTTCTAATCTGGCCAATTCTGTACAAGCATTAGCTAAAAGGAAATCTCCTGTCAATGTAGCCATTTTATTTCCAGATGACATACCCTCCAACACTTCATCTACAAGGTCAAGATCGGACATATTGACCACACCTTTGTGTATCAGACAAGCTGTGTATATCATTTCTGTTATCTCTGCTAATGCTCTTTGACTGTTATAAATATAAAGCATAAGTTTATTGAATTTATCATAAATAACCAAATATCAAAGGAGTGGTGTCATATTTTATAAACATCAGCTGTCATGCTGCCTGTAAATTTAACATTGGGAATACAACTTATTGAGTCTCTGGATCATAACTACCTCATAATCTGCTACAAAATGGCAGCATGGATGCTAATACAATAGCATATCAAGGGTCTAACATATTTATTTCAACTATTTTAAAAATGGCCCAGCCATTTAAGCATGACTCATTGACTGTCAGAGGGTTTTGTACATCATACTTTTCTTTGAATATGTTCTTGAAAATGAAAAACATGGAAAATGTTCTATCAAGCATGTCAAGTATTTCTTCATAACCAGACTATACTGATACCATTGTTAATCAAAGTAAGATGACTCAACATTCCAAATACATTTGCATGTCATGATCGTAAAAGTTTAAATATTCTACCTGAAAATGAAATGCAATAAACATGATGAAGTTAATGGCACATCATACTAAAAATCAATGATCTATTGCAACTTTATATGCATTAACTATATTCTACAGGAAGTAAAGCAAATAGTAATTCACCCATTGCATTAATGTCTGCATAAACAAATCTATACATAAAACTTGACATTTGAACCAAAATAAAAAGATTCTACAGACATTTAATGTACATAACTGAATGATAAAGAACCTTAATTTCTGTTGAACCTAACATGAATTGGTGTCAATAATACAACAAGTCAAAAAGCAGAGGTTAATTATTAGTTATTCTTCATAAATACTTCTAATCAGAAACTGAATATTGGAAATATCAAAAGTATAACTAAAGGGGCAGGGTATCATATTATAACGTCAATGTATACTACTTTCAGGTTAAAGGCATTAAAGGCAATGTAAGATAATCATGATAATAACTTATCCAGAATAGCAATGATCTATCTGAAATCAGATAATTAGAAAAATATATAGTTACATATTATAGCAAAACCATCAACCCTCAAAGGAGCAACTAAGTCTCTCTCCCAGTGGCTTTCCTTGTGGTACTTTATATCTTATGTTTTTCTTTTGTATTTTGTGGGTTTTTTTTAATGTTAACAAGGTTAAGCTCTCAGAGTAATTGTTGTTATTATATATCACATGTATATAATTATGCGCTCTATAAATACTGTATTATATCATTTATTATTATTATTAAAATTGCAGGCAAGACAATAACACAAAACTCTCAACTCAGTAAGACAATAACACAAATCTCTACAACTCAGAAAGACAATATCACAAATCTCTACAACTTAGAAAGACAATAACACAAAACTCTACAACTCAATAAGACAATAACACAAAACTCTACAACTCAGTAAGACAATACCACAAAACTCTACAACTCAGAAAGACAATAACGCAAAACTCTACAACTCAGTGAGACAATAACACAAAACTCTACAACTCAGTAAGACAATAACGCAAACCTCTATAACTCGGTAAGACAAAAACACAAAACTATTCAACTCAGTGAGACAATAACACAAAACTCTACAACTCGGTAAGACAATAACACAAAACTCTACAACTCAGTGAGACAATAACGCAAAACTCTACAACTCGGTAAGACAATAACACAAAACTCTACAACTCAGTAAGACAATAACACAAAACTCTACAACTCAGTGAGACAATAACACAAAACTCTACAACTCGGTAAAACAATAACACAAAACTCTACAACTCAGTAAGACAATAACACAAAACTCTACAACTCATCAACACAATAACACAAAACTCTACAAGTCAGTAAGACAATAACACAAAACTCTACAACTCAGAAAGACAATAACACAAAACTCTACAACTCAGTAAGACAATAACTGTAACTCTACAACTCAGTCAGACAATAACACAAAACTCTACAACTCAGTTAGACAATAACACAAAACTCTACAACTTGGTAAGACAATAACACAAAACTCTACAACTCGTTAAGACAATAACACAAAACTCTACAACTCAGTGAGACAATAACACAAAACTCTACAACTCAGTAAGACAATAACACAAAACTCTACAACTCAGAAAGACAATAACACAAAACTCTACAACTCGGTAAGACAATAACACAAAACTCTACAACTCAGTGAGACAATAACACAAAACTCTACAACTCAGTAAGAGTAGAGCCAATAACACAAAACTCTATAACTCAGTAAACAATAACTCAAAACTCTACAACTCAGTGAAACAATAACACAAAACTCTACAACTCATTGAGACAATAACACAAAACTTTACAACTCAGTAAGACAATAACACAAAACTCTACAACTCAGTAAGACAATAACTCAAAACTCTACAACTCAGTTAGAGTAAAGACAATAACACAAAACTCTACAACTCAGTGAGACAATAACACAAAACTCTACAACTCAGTGAGACAATAACACAAAACTCTACAACTCAGTAAGACAATAACACAAAACTCTACAACTCAGTGAGACAATAACACAAAACTCTACAACTCAGTGAGACAATAACACAAAACTCTACAACTCAGTAAGATAATAACACAAAACTCTACAACTAAGTAAGACAATAACACAAAACTCTACAACTCAGTAAGACAATAACACAAAACTCTACAACTCAGTAAGACAATAACACAAAACTTTACAACTCAGTAATATGATAACACAAAACTCTACAACTCAGTAAGACAATAACACAAAACTCTACAACTCAGTAAGACAATAACACAAAACTCTACAACTCAGTAAGACAATAACACAAAACTTTACAACTCAGTAATATGATAACACAAAACTCTACAACTCAGTAAGACAATAACACAAAACTCTACAACTCAGTAAGACAATAACACAAAACTCTACAACTCAGTAAGACAATAACACAAAACTCTACAACTCAGTAAGACAATAACACAAAACTCTATAAGTCAGCCTTAAATGATCATGTACATCAGCTTGACATTAATTGAGAGTCAATTACAACATGTACAATTCTTATTTCAAACCAGTTTTATTTTTAATTGATACATCAGTGTTATGTTGTTTTGATGTTCATTATCAAACATTTTTGTTCAACTGTGCAATTGTCATGATTGTGTGACGGCTTGATAATAAAATTAACTTAAGCATGATAGATTAAAGATGTCAGAAGTCCCCTTTATTTTTATCTTATTGATCTGTTTAACAGTTTAAATTTTGAAATTTTACTTTATCTGCTTTTTACTAGTAATGGACTGTAATTCAGAGTATGTAACTAGACTATGGTTAATATCTGGTAAACTTGCCACATGTATGTTGTGTTCGTTAAGGAGCAGAGCATAAGCCTGAATGATAGACCAGTAAAGATATCTGTTTACCACAGTAACTGCACAGCATATATTTGAATGTCTTATACATGTACATTTACCTATCTGACTGTTACCTAATGACTATTCACCTGTTGTCTATATCCTGATCTGAACCAGAAGGCTGTCCTGCAGCTTTACATACCAGTAAAACAATTAATCCTCTTGTCTGTAATGTGTGGGAATCATTGTAAATCAGACCTCTGAAATACAAATGTACATAACATTTATAAATTAATTGAGTTTTACCATGCACTTTACACCAACAAATAGTACATAATGAACGTTCTAGTAATTCATCAAATAACTTTTTTCAAACATCTCCCTTCATATCCTTTCGCAAGTTTCAGATTTACAGTTCAGAAGTTAATTGTTTCAATTTAATTTTTGTCAAGTTTGTTATTTTAAGTTTTAACATGTTTAATACCATTTTCCTTTATACTCATGTTATCATTCCATTCCATTTCAATTTTAATTTAATTAAAAAAAGATTTATCAGGAGGTAAATAATTTTTACCTTTCATGTTTAACATGCATGTTTAAACTACCTTTTTCCTATATTAATCATTATTTTCCTGAAACAGCACCCATTCACTAAAACAACCTCTATTCAATTTATTTTGTTGGCATTGGAGGAATAGATATTTCATAAAATGTAGGCATTCCCATGATTCCAGGAAGACACTTTATCTTACTTATAATAAAGAAAAAGGTAATTAGTGAATTGTGCCTACATGTATATACATATATCCATCAATGGAGTGAACAAATAATTAGTTCTGAAAGCCATAACAGCTGTTTAACAATCTCAAACAATAAATTACATTACATGAATTATAAATTTCTACTTCAGGCCAAAAGTCCCTTATTTACATGTAGATATGAAAAGAGATTTAAGCTGATGTAAAACAAGTGACATCATGGAACATGTGGAATGGAATGACTTTTGTCAAGTTTTTTCGAATGAAGTATTGAACTTTACACCCCAAACAATGTCATGTAACATATGACATTGTTTGGGGTGTAAAGTTCAATACTTAGGGAAATGTGACAAAATCTACTGGATTCCCTGCAATGTAGAACTAAAACATGTATCTCTTATCATTGAGAATATATGTCTATATATGTTTTTTTTCTGTATTTGTATTATGTTAATATCAGTTGGTATCATTGCTGTATTGGAATTTATTCCAAAAATATTTTTTTTCTATTGGATTTTACAAGAACATTTTTGTCTAGGCATGCATTAGCTGGAGAACTGTAGCTCATAGGTCCTTATCACATTTTTTTGACAATTTGCGGATCTATTGATGTCAAAATTTGTTGCAGAACTATATATATATATATAGCTCTTAATTAGGTCCTAATGATCATGATGATATTCTTTGACAATTTGCAGACCACATATGGTTCGCAAATTGTCAAAAAATATCATGAGGACCTAAGTAACTAAGTCAAAGTATGCTATCTAATGTATATGCACATACAATTTTAATTACAGTAAAACCTGCATAAACCGGTCGGCTACGGGACTAAGGAAAAGGGCCGGTTTGGACAGTGGGCCGGTTTATTCAGGTTTCCATTTTGACCGGAAGTTAATAAATTGTGACGTCCGATATACTGTATGTAAATGTTCTGTCTGATTGTAAAATATAAACTGATAAATACAAAATGTAAAAACGTAATAATTTCGCATGATCGTTGTTTTGAATCTTCTTATTCATTGGCTATAAAAATTTAAGTAACTGGTTGTTCCTCGAATTCAAAAAATAAATATTTTAACCTTTTTTAACATATCCTCGTATGTCAAATAGAACTCGGTTGCATCAGTCTCCGATTTGTCAGTTTCACTTTCACTTTGTGTTCATAATGTTTATCCTCGCGTTGTTTGAATTGTGACACGAGAGTTTTCGTTTTACTTCCATTATTCATTTCCGACATTGGTATAGCGTATAAAAAAGGCAGAATTTTATAAAACGAAATTTCATCATGATCGACACATTGTCGTACAGTTTACGATACTCATTGATTGTTGTCATCCGGGTGTTACTCATTATCAGGGTCATTGTTTAAAGAGGTTCACAACAGGTTTCGAAAACACGATTCTGAGATTAAAAAAAATTATTCACGTTAAAAACTAAGTTATATCCGAGATATATTTGGCGTGTCTTTTAGTTTAATTTACTTTAATAGTGTTTTTATAATATAGCTCACTATTGTACCATTGAAAGTTCACGGTTTAACACCTGGCTAATTGATTATCCTGAAAAGCCATCTTGTATAAACAAATATGTTTTGATTGCATATCGATCAATATTGTTATCATTTACAATTAATTAGACAGTCCGGTTTTGACAGGTACATTGTAATAATTGATGTAATTAAGAGTATTGGGACTGCATCATTAGACTGGAATTCGGAATACACAGGGTCCGGTTTACAAAGGATATTTTAACAAGACTTTGAAGGAAAAAAAAAAGGACTTTTATTTTCGGACGGAATGGACAGGAAACCGGTTTATTCAGGGTCTGGTTTACTCAGGTTTGACTGCAATGGATTTACCTAGCTGTCTGAAGTAGAGGATGTTTAGAACCAACAAGTTTCCTCATTTGAATGGCAACATTTGATATTTCATCACTCAAAAAACATCTGAGCCCCATCAATGACGTTGGATAACCGACAAGTTTCTCTGCATCTGAAACTGCTTTGTTCCATTCTGTTACTTTTTTGGAACTCCAAATTCCAAAACATTTGCTTGGAAATTTTTTAGAATATGATGCAAGATGATGACTTTTTAGCAAAAAATTATGATCCCTCATAAAAGATAATGATCTGAATATTCTTGTCAAATTCATGCTATTTTTAAAAAAATTCTTCAAAACATGGTTAAAATTTATATTTCAAAAACTCTGTACTAGGGCAACAACTGACACTGGTTGTGTTGTACGTCACAGATTCTGTAATCGGGTCTAACGTAACTCCACAATAGAAAGTTGTTAAATTTAGCAACGGTCGAAATAAGTTATGGTCTTGGATATTACTTCCAGCATATTCTATTCTTCATTTGAAGATCATTTCGTATTCTTTTAAGTACATACTAAATTCAGTAAAGCATGAAATGTGAATATTTTAATATTACAAAATTGTAATATAGTTTACATAGTCTTGAAAAAGTTTTCGGTAAATAGTTTTGAAGCCGCTTAAACCCTTTTTGGATGTTATACAAGTTAAATTGTGTTAGGATATCTTGTTTTTTTAGGCGAGGGGATCTTTTATCCCTAAATCAAATATATAAGCCAAACTTATGACTAACAAATTATATACAAAAGTGTTGTGACTACATTTTTGTCGTGGCTGTAAGGGATACAGAAGGTGTCGCTGAAGCGAAACTGTAAACAAACAGACGAAATGTTCCGTCGGTGTTTCCTACCAATTTTTACAAATGTTAGGCCCTGCAAACGGATATCTAAATGTGTTAGTGTTTTATTTCTTCCAATAACTTTTCGTATTGATAAAACAGTCGTATTTTTACTGAAATCACCACTTAGCCGTGCACATGTCGAAAGTTAAAGGTCACGTTCTTGGAATTTTGTATTTCATTTTCCTTCCTGGGTTCTCGGAAAATACATTGCATGTTTAAATTTAAAAAGTAGGTCAGTAAAATCAAATTCTCAGAACCACCTTACCGATGACTTTTTGAAAATATGCTAGGTATATTATTTCTGTGAATGAGCATGTTTTAGCATTTAAAATAGAACCGTTGACGGATAAAATTAATATGACCTCACACTGTTGAATGTTGGCGGATTTTTCAAACTTTGTAAACATTGTATTAAGACAGTAAGTCTGTTTTATTTATTTCAAACATGAAAAACAAATTAAACTTTAAATGCTAAATTATTTATTATTTGCTTCATCTTTTTCTTAATTTTATAACATTTTGTCTAATTTCTGTCAATGCAATTTATCTCTTTTAGCATGTGTAGGAAGAAATGTTAATGGTTAGAGTAAGAAAATTGCTACATAACTCTAGTTTTTTCTGCATGCATTGGATATATAAAAAAAAAATTGTGCATTAGCATGATAAGCCATACCTGTTCAGTAGCTTTTTGATTTGTAATCTACATATGTACTTGAAGTACAATTCAGTATCGTTTACATTGTTCACCTAGAAACTACAACCTTTCAGTTTTGTTTTCTAAACTTTACATTTCCTACATAATATTTGTAGTGGCCATATGCATGTCTTAAGCTTATGCAATTTTATCAGATTTCATGTGTATATATTTTATGAATGTTTGGATATACAAATGTACTATGTATAAAAATAGATACAATGTTAATATAGAGAAAAAAACATGTAGATTTTTTAAGTGTTAATTTTGTGAAATATGTTACACAAGTTGCCTCACAAAGTTATGTACTGCTACTTTTGAATCCTCTGGGTTTAAGAGTAGTCTTTAATTCTTTTGTAGGTGGTGTTTTAAAAAGTGAGATACAATGTGGCTTTATTGAATATGCAAATCTTGTAATTTTACCTTCTAGACCTTTTGAATATACATATAGCTGTATAGTTAAAAGATGAGTTAATCAGTTACACTTGCAAATGACTATAGTAAAAATCAAAACCAATTGTTCAGAGAACAATTGAAGGGCTTTCCACAGCAATTTTTAAATTTATTGAAAAGAAGCTAGTTCGTGTTTACTCAAAGTTAAAATTGGCATCTTATCATCAGTTTCTTCATACCGATGCGATAAATAAGTGGTTTCTATATAATTCTGAGTGAAATAAGGGAGATAATAAGCTACTTCTGGTGAAATAAATGTCACTTCCGGTCTCATATAATAGTTTCTTTCACACTGATTCCCAAAATATATAGTTTCTATATACTTTTGATTGTAAACCAGGAGATAATTGGCCACTTACGGTTTATGGAAAGTCATTTCTAGTCTTCAGTGATAAGTTAATGTATTAAAATTACAAAATATATGGATTCCGAGTACTTTTCCATGAAGAAAGTGCAAAAATGGCTACTTCCGGTTTCCTCAAGGTCACTTCCGGTTGTCATTCTTCAAGGTCATATGTCATCCAACCTTTTGTAAAAGGTCATATGGCTTTATAATGAACCAAGTTGAAGTAATAATCAATTAATCTTATAATTGGACATTTCAGGGGCACTTACTCCTACAAGATGCCATTAGATTGTTTCAGATCAAATGTAACATATCTTCATTACAATAAAGCAAACATTTTGCACTTGTAGTTTCATATATATCTTTAAAAGTGTTTTAGAAAATGCAAAAACAAGGAAAAGTCAAAATTGAGAACTTGACCTTGACCTTTGACCTTGACCTCATTTTCTAAGTTAGGACCTAGGGACCTCAAATAAAAAGATTCCAGGGTTAATGGTTTATGAGTTAAAAAAACATACCGACAAATTGATTTGGTAAAGGTAGATAACTCCTTTAAAATTTCATTGAATCGCTTCGATCCAAATTAGCCAAAAACTCCTGAGGATGTATCGAACAATTTAGAAAAAGAATTTTGTTGATATCTTTTTTATGTTACGAAGGAGATGCACACACTTGATAAACAGTGAATAGGGAGATAACTCTTACAAAGAAAATTGTTCGGCTTAGAATGGGTGAAAATAAAAAACGCATAAACTGTATGATACTATATAAGAAATATCTTAGCGACATATTGCGAAACAAAAATTTTATGCAATAACAAAATTTGGCGGAAGAAAAAAATAATAATCAGAACAAATACAATAGGTCTTTCCACAGAAAAGTGGAAAGACCTAATTATACAAATCCAAATTATAGCAGACTATTATGAGACATGTGCTACTTTTTTAGCTCACCTTCGAAAAAAATCTTCATCTCTAAAAACTACTTTGGCAAATGTTACCAAACTTTACCTGGATGATCCTTAGGGTATCTACATTAAAATTGTATCTGGGGATTTGATCAATTATCAAACATACATGACCTAGCCACTGTTGCTAAAAAAGAACAAAAGTTTTTGGCTTATATCTTAAAAACTAAAGCAGTTAGAGCATATCTGACCTGGGGAAATTAAAAATTATCTGTAGGTCAAGGTAGATTTATCACCTGTGGAATTTCCAGAAAAAATTGACAATGCATTTAAGAGTTATTGCCCCTGAAATATTAATTTTTAATGACTTTGAAAGTTTTTGCCTTCTATGTTATCAATTAAAGTAGTTAGAGCAAATCTAGTGTGAAACTGATCAGCAGGCCTAGGCCAAGGTCTATCACCTGTGGAATTTTCAGAAAAATCAGACAACCCATTTTGGAGTTATTACCCCTGAAATGTATTTTTTTTTTAAATTTCATAGCTTTTTGTTTTATCTTGAAAACTAACAGATAGACATGATAGAAAGAAATTTTGAATACTACAAATGTCCAGAAAAATGAGATCTTCAAATAAGTCAACTTGGACATGTTGGAATTGGCCTTTTGGGATTTTTTTAAAAAGAAACTATAGTTGATAAAGAGAATCTTTCCATCGTAAAAATGTTCAACAAAATATGATCTTCAAGTAAGTTAGCATTGATGAATCACCAATTGACCCCTGATAGAAATGTGTAGAAATTATTGCCCTTGAAAGACATATTTTAATCATTTTTTCACAAATTTTGTGTTTTTTGCAGAAACTATGATAGTCTAGAATAGATGGATAGAAATTGTAATAAGCAAAAGTGTTAAAAATTAAGATCTACAACTTAGCCAAAATTGTCAAATGATAGCTAATAGGAGTTATTGCCCTTGAAAGTTAATTTAACTTATTACAATAAATCTGATTGCCAGTCAACTATATTAAATAAATACCATGATGGGCACCTTAAGGGTCCTGTTGTTTGTGTGTTTTATTTAAAATTATACTTATGGGTTATCAGAAATGCAAAATTGTTGGAAATTGTATGCTTCTTTATGATTTTTTTATGAAAAATCCCCAAGAAGGAATGAAAAAACCAGAGAGAGAACTATTGACCGTCATGTTGTTGAAGTTCTTTCAGTACCTCATTTGTATGAACCAAATATACTCTTCTACCATGGCCTTCTGGAGTATACAAATGTAAATAACCAGAAGTGCTACAAAAGATATTTTAGCAAACTTTTTGTAAATTCACCAGTTCATGTACATGTTTGTTTTCTTTAAGTTTTCATATTAATCTTGACACCTTTTTAAAGTTTTTGTTTGTTTTTTCTTCATGCTTCAGAATAAATTAACAATTGTTGCAAATTAAATATCTTAAGGTACCCCAAAACTTTTAAAATGGTAACCTGCAGCTGTTACCCATTCTCATTTTGAAATATATCTGATCTACTTTTTGTATAATTTTTAAAAACAAATTATGCTGAATTGGTAGATATTTTGGTAATGATATCAATTAACTTAATAACTTGGCCTACAATTGTCCTTGACATAATCTGTTTGATACATAATCATGACAATGTACATTTGTTTGTACATGTTACATTAGAAATATATTTTTGTCTAATTAAGTTAACAAGTATTATTTATTGTGTCCAAGTCTACTTTCCAATAAATTCAATTGATTGTTACCACTTTAAATACTTAGTCTTCATTTGAATATACTGAATTGATTGTAAAATATTTTATTTGCCACGAATAATCTTGGCCTGAAGTTATCTTTTTTTGAGAATTTGTTTTAAAAAAAATTAATCATAGAATAATCGAATGCATACATGTATCTATTTTTTTTGTAAAAAAATTGTAATATTATCATAACCTTAATGATTTTATTAAAACATTCAAAACATCCCCGTTGAGCACAAGTATACATTCAAAGGGATGTAACTCTATCTAAATTAATGATTATTTCATGTACTAGATATTAAGTATAAACAACTTTTTTTGAAGGCGTGTTAAAATCCAGAACATTTCCCATATATATATATATATATGGTCTGTCAAATATTTTTTGGTATTTTGCCTATTCAACCCAATTTTTTTTTCTCTGCCTGGTATATGTTCGCCAAATATAAATTCTGCATTGTAATAATATCCCAACATCCATTCAATGAATGACATATTTGTAAGCATAATGACTAAATGTAATTTTATGAATGATAAGTCTTATTATATCATGACTACATCAGTGAGTGAATTAGAATACATGTCTTCATATTGAAGTTTATTAACAACCCCCCACCAGAGACGGAAAAGTTAACAACTTATGCATATATATTTTATTTAAACCTACTTTGATTTAATTTTACACAAGAATGTTTCTATACAGTAGGTATGAAAGAAAGTTATTGATATTTTCCTTTGGACCATAATCAATTACTTAACAGGAGATAGGTCATGTAGGTAATACATATTTCTATAGAAACAACCCTAAAATTTGAGCTGTTGTAAAAAAGAATAATATAGATCTACAATGTAGTGGATGTTTTTTCTAGGAATTTTTAATGCAAAAAAAGGGGGGGGGGGGGGGGGGTTGACTGAAATGATGGTCAACATGAATAAAGGATAGGAACTTACTTTTATAATAGTAGTAAGGAATTTCTAATTTCAAAATACGTCTGGGCCGGAATGTATACATGCTGGCATCATAAACCTTTTAGGGCGAACACTGCTAAAGTTTTCTTTTTATTCTTATAAGAATAATTAAAAATCCCAAGATCATATATGCTGATAACTTATTGTAAATTCATATTTAGAAGAAAATTCGTCATTTCTGACTGGGTTACAAGCTGTGCAAATCCTTCTAGTCATGCTGATAGTCTGGTGATGTCAGACAACAGGCTTTTTGAAATTGGTTCTATTTATGTAAAATCAACTTCTACAGTTTTCGACTTAGAACCTTGAATCTTCACAGAAAAATTGAACACATATTGAAAATGTGCACCTTCTATTATGGAATATTATGAGGAATCTTGTCACATTTTCCATACTATGGAACTTAAACATTTTTCATCAAAATTTACAAAAAACATTCTTATTTGGTCATCTTCTACGTTTTTTTTTAACCCAGGTCCTTGAAACAGACAGTAACTGTACTGTTGAAAATTTTGCATGCACTTATTATTGCAATTGTTGAACAGTAGACAAAAATACAAGATAAATGATTGTAACTTCAGGAAATGTGATTATAAATAATTCTTTCAGTATTTAGAATGGGAGTTTTTATTTTTATGCCCCCCTAATGGCATTATGTTTTTTGGTCTGTTCGTGCATTCGTTCGTCCGTCCGTCCATTCGTTCGTCTGTCTGTCCCGCTTCAGGTTAAAGTTTTTGGTCAAGGTAGTTTTTGATGAAGTAATGAAGTCCAATCAACTTGAAACTTAGTACACATGTTCCCTATGATACGATCTTTCTAATTTTAATGCCAATTTAGAGTTTTGACCCCAATTTCACGGTCCACTGAACATAGAAAATGATAGTGTGAGAGGGACATCCATGTACTATGGACACATATTTGTTGTGAAACTCATTCTAATATAAATTTTGCAATGATGAAAATATCATAAAAAATTCTGAATTTACAGTGCCTAATTTAGGTCATCATCATACTTTCAAGTTCAACCAAGAGTCATTGAAATGAACAGAAAGATTGCACACATATTAAAGTTGCTCACCTGCTGTTAAAAAATTTGGATTGTTTATCACCATGATCACATTGAAGAAATTTCTTCTCATTTTTCAGACTCAAGCAAATTTAAAACAAATGGTACCTGTAGTCATGGGAGTTGTTTTGGTTATCTAAATGATAATTATTGATTATTTTCCATTGTGTAAGAAACAGTATTTTTGCAACACTCACTTTTGAGTCTTTGATCCATTTTAATGTTAATAATAGATTTTACTCAAATGAATTTAATCAATAAAGTTTTTAAATATTTCTCTACCTGCATTACCTGTATCCTTTATTGGTTCACACCATGTTGTGCAGCTATTATCATGATTATAGTTTCATTCGATATTCATGTCATCTTGAAATTATTACTGAACAAATATTGGTTCTGATTGGCTATACCTTATGATTTGGCTTAGTTTCTATCGGCAGCAGTGAGATATAGATATAGGAAAGTGTCCCAGCTAGGAGAAGATATTAAATATGTTGGACAGATAACGAATAAAATTACAGTATGGGTATTCAAGACATAATTAACAATTATTGCTACATGTTGACGTAATTTATGATACTACGAAGCACTCAATACCTTTTAAGAAAGTTTAAACTTGTATAACTTAATTGTTTTTGTTTCATCATGTTCATGGAAAAGGAAAATATTCAATTTCTGACAATTGCTTGAGGCATAAAGAAAACAATTATATGCCAATACAGTTTAAAGTTATGTCCTTATGTCTATTAGGAAGATAACAATGGTTAAAGTTGAACATTTGCTGGAAAAATTTGATCATGTTAGTTTGCAATTATCTTAATTAATTACATTTGTGTTTTTGAAGGTACACAAAAGAGCTTTAATGACGATAACAAAAGCTCAGATGAAAATAATGAATGGAGGAGACACTCATATGAAAAAGAGAACTCTGTTTACTGAGAGAGCTTCAGATTTCCTTGAATCTGTCTTTTCATCAAGTGATGTCAGTATATTATCATCAGAGGTTTGTATCAGACATATATTATCATCAAAGGTTTGTATCAGATGTATATTATCATCAGAGGTTTGTATTAGATGTATATTATCATCAGAGGTTTGTGTCAAATATATATTATCATCAGAGGTTTGTATTAGATGTATATTATCATCAGAGGTTTGTATCAGATGTATATTATCATCAGAGGTTTGTATTAGAAGTATATTATCATCAGAGGCTTGTATTAGATGTATATTATCATCAGAGTCTTGTATTAGATGTATATCATTATGAGAGGTTTGTATCAGATGTATATCATCATCAGAGGTGTGTATCAGATGTATATCCTCATCAGAGGCTTGTATCAGATGTATATTATCATCAGAGGTTTGTATTAGATGTATATTATCATCAGAGGTTTGTATCAGATGTATATTAGCATCAGAGGTTTGTATCAGATGTATATTATCATCAGAGTCTTGTATTAGATGTATATCATTATGAGAGGTTTGTATCAGATGTATATCATCATCAGAGGTGTGTATCAGATGTATATCCTCATCAGAGGCTTGTATCAGATGTATATTATCATCAGAGGTTTGTATTAGATGTATATTATCATCAGAGGTTTGTATCAGATGTATATTAGCATCAGAGGTTTGTATAAGATGTATATTATCATCAGAGGTTTGTATCAGATGTATATTATCATCAGAGGTTTGTATCAGATGTATATCATCATCAGAGGTTTGTATCAGATGTATATTATCATCAGAGGTTTGTATCAGATGTATATTATCGTCATCAGAGGTTTGTATCAGATGTATATTATCATCAGAGGTTTGTATCAGATGTATATTATCATCGGAGGTTTTTATCATCAGAGGTTTGTATCAGATATATATTATCATGAGAGGTTTGTATCAGATGTATATTATCATCAGAGGTTTTTATCATCAGAGGTTTGTATCAGATGTATATTATCATCAGAGTTTTTTATCATCAGAGGTTTGTATCAGATGTATATTAGCATCAGAGGTTTGTATCAGATGTATATCCTCATCAGAGGCTTGTATCAGATGTATATTATCATCAGAGGTTTGTATCAGATGTATATTATCATCAGAGGTTTGTATCAGATGTATATTATCATCAGAGGTTTGTATCAGGTGTATATTATCATCAGAGGTTTGTATCAGATGTATATTATCATCAGAGGTTTGTACCAGATGTATATTATCATCAGAGGTTTGTATCAGATGTATATCCTCATCAGAGGCTTGTATCAGATGTATATTATCATCAGAGGTTTGTATTAGATGTATATTATCATCAGAGGTTTGTATCAGATGTATATTAGCATCAGAGGTTTGTATAAGATGTATATTATCAGAGGTTTGTATCAGATGTATATTATCATCAGAGGTTTGTATCAGATGTATATTATCATCAGAGGTTTGTATTAGATGTATATCATACTGGTTAGTGTGGTTTGTTGTATTGATCAATAATTTTGGTAATTCCTGTTATCTTATATGTATTATTGTTGTCTGAATATTTAAATTACAATTTAAAAGCTGTATGGAAGATGCACATAAGACAACAATTTTTCAAACTACATAATAAATGTATATATATAATCTTCAGGGATCATATAGAACATCTTGCAGTGAGATTATTGTCTTTCTGTAATGCTTAGCCCCATATAATGTGAAATCTGTTAGCAAATTATATCACCATAGATTGTACAGAGTTCAATAGGTTGTCAACTTTTCAGCATTCCATTGTAATTTTTTCTTTATAGCCTTTGAATATAGATAAGAAGATAAGGTATGAGTGCCAATGAGACAACTCTCCATCCAAGTCACAATGTATAAAAAGTTAACAATTATAGGTCAAAGTACGGCCTTCAACAAGAAGACAATTTATATTTATGCATTATCTTATACAATAACATACAAAATATTAGTGTAATGTCACAACTAGAAGTTATACAGTTTTAATCTGGAAGGATCAAAGTTATAATCCATGAAATAATTTAGAGGTGGATTTAGAGGAACAGGATGCCCCCTTCCCTTTATAGAGCTACATATATGGTAAATGCATTGACTCTTAACATGTCCAACTCCAAACATTGACTAGTTTCCAAGTAAAGTTTTATCTGTTGGATGTATTGATGATCAGATGAGATTATCAGTAACATTTTATTTGGGTTTTTGGGACCTGTTAATTTGAGGACTTTTTCTCAAAATAAAAACAATGAATTTGATTTAATATCTCATTCTTTCTTTTTCCAATTTTCGGAAAAATAATATATAGGGGTGGTAGAGATGGACTATTTTTTTAATACAATACTCAGTCAATTTCAGATTAAGTATTATAAAACATTTTAATGGAAATTATGAGAATCAATTGACGTTTGATTTGATAAATTTACAAGTATTGTATTTGAATTGAAAAAAATAATAATATGTTATACCGTGGGGTCTTTATTGCGATCACCTTGATTTACCAACTGTTCTTATGTCCGTTTGTCAAATGAATAATTTCATCACACTTTTCTTAGAAACTATTGAACAAAAGGACTTTATATTTGGTCAGAACCTTGACAGTGATGAGTTATATAACATGCTAGCACTTTTGGAATCTTTCAGATTCATTCTTCCTGTTTTCCAATATTTTTAATTTTTTAATTTGTTGAAAGAACTTAAAATTTTTCGTCACACTTTTCTCGGAAACTATTGAACAGAATAACTTTTGTCAGCAACTCAACATTGATGAGTTGTAAGATGTTAGCACTTTCCAGATCTGTCAGATTCCTTCTTCCTGTTTGCTGATACTTTGATTTTTTCAATATGTTGAATGGACTTGAAAAAAATTAGCAAGGGACTTTCTGTTTTGAATTTTCCTTGGAGTTCAGTATTTTTGTTATTTTTACTTTTTTCAGAAACTACTCAACTGAATGCATCCACATTTGGTCAGTAGCTCAAGACTCATGAGTTGTAAATGTTCATGCACTTTTCCTATCTGTTAGACACAGAGATTGAAGTTAAAATTTTGGCATGGTAGCCCACAGCTTAAATTTTGTAGCCCACATATATAGTCCTATACAAGAAAAGAAGAAATTTAAGTAGCCCACACCAAATTTTAGGCGCCATTGGCAAGTGGGCCCCTGCTAATTTCAAACCCTGGTTAGACACCTACTTTCTGTTTTCTGATAATTTGAATTACAAGTAGAGGTACATGCTTAGCCCGACAAAACATGCCTTCTTGTTTGAAGTGTTGTCTGCTTAACTTTGGATATATCCATTTTACTGGCCACATGTCACCAATTAAACTTCCAATTCCAAACCTCATATCATAAATGGACACAAGGTCTGCCTCCAAGCCAGTCATTAAAAAGGCCATCAGATGTCAGGGCAATCTAATTTAAACTAGACATGAAGTAGTCTGAGATTACTCTAAGCCAGTCCGTAAAAAAGCCGTCAGATGTCAGGGCAATCTCAAACTAACAATGAAGATGATAATGTTCTTGAATTTAAATTAACTTAAAATGACAGCGTGTAATGAATTATGGTCACTATTGAAATTCTTCTTAAAAAACTTTTATGACTGAAAAATTCAGTAAAGAAAAAAGTCTGCAGTGTGAATTTGTTTTTAACTTTAACTTTTTTGAGGTTAAAGTTTTTTTTAAATTGATATCCCAGACATATATAAGATAAAATTTTTGAAATTTGGTGAAATAAGTGCATACTAAAGGAACATTTAAGTCCTTTGATTGATTGATAAAAATAATCTTGACATATTTATATTGTCTTAATTTTATGTAATATTTGTTTACATAGGAAGACGTAATCGGTAGTTCTTGGAACAGGAGGTTTTTAATATTTAGCTTAATTGTCCAGATCTATTTATAGACTTTTTGTGTACAAAAACAGTTATACTTATTGTAAGATATATACCCGTATATCATTGATTGTTATTGATGTGATTTTCGTATCCATGGCTTTCATTTGAACCTACCTTGAAGTTCTTGGAAGTGATGACTTCATGTCAGCCATATATAATTGTTACATGTCATGGACAGAAAATAGTTCCACAATAGAAATAAATTATCAATACTATCAGTGGTGCTGATCTGTATGGTCTTAGAGACATTCTTTTTTTGTACTGTTCAACAGAGTTTGAGTTCTGAAAATTCAGACATTTTTGTGTGCACTTGTTATTGCAATTGCTGAAAAATGGACAAAAATGCAAAATAGTTATTGTGATTTAAAATAATGCTGCATACCAAACTTTAAAATGGATTTTTTTTAATTTTTATAAAACCTATTCTTTCACAATTTTAGCTGAAATAAAAATATCACAAAAATTAAAATTGACATTATTTATTCTATTATAATTTAATCTAAAAAAAAAGTCATCATCGTAATTACTTTAATCTGGTAAAAGTTAAAAAGTCAGTTATTCTGTTAATTTCAGGTGAGATACCTATTTAAGTACTATTTTATGTCAATGCTATAATTAGAATTAGGAAAGCTCCAAATTTTAAACAGTTACACGTAATTTGAAATAATTCTGGAAGTATATGAAAAAAAAGAGTTACATACAACTATTGACTTATGTTTGTAAGTCAGTGTTAGATATTGAGCAATAAAGTGCCTTATTTGTTCTTTCATTTAAACCTACAAATATGCTCAAGCATGCAGTAAAATAATCTGTCCTTAGTGGTATCAGATAAAATTCATGGAACTTATATCTCATTTTAGAGAATTAAATCTGATTTTGTCCAATAACTGTTTTAACCGTTGTATTTGAAATGTATGTTATAAAGGTTTTAAATTACACTTGCTTTTAGCTTTTATGGACAAAAAGTGATGTTTGGGTTTTGGTAAAGATCAGTTCTATCAAGCATTCAGATATTATATTTCAAGTTCCTCTTCAGTATAATATACCAAAATATCTATTTCACTGATTATAGTCAGATAATGTCAGGGCTTTTACAGAAATTAATGTATGGGGAGGGGGGTCAGAAGGTATTTTTTATTTAACCCTGCCATGCATAAACTTTTAATTTGATAATTTGATATAATTGTTGAGACTATCTGTGTAAAATAACAAACACCCATCAAATTTTAATAAAAGTGCTTCCCCCCCCCCCTCTTATTCAATTAATTCTGGATGGAAAAGCCCAGATTAAAAATGATTTTTTGTCAAAAATTTCAGATTTGTTACAGGTGATTTTACTGGAATTTATATCTTATATTATTATTCAAACATTATTTTATCATTTTTGGCTTTTTTCATCTTGTCCTAGGCCTGTCCATTATTAATGTCTCAAAAATAGTGTTGGTGCTAACTGTCATTTTATTTATTTTTGGTATAACTTATATTATCTTGCCTTTATCCTTATTTTTATTAATCACTTAAATTTTTATTTATTATTTTGTTTTGCATTTGTATTCCATCAATTATGCTTTAAATGTTAATTGAACATGCTAGTAATATTGGTAGATGCATTTACAGTCATTTTATTTTTTCGTTGATGCACCTTTTTAACAAGTTAAACTTCTGTTACTAGTAAATGGTTTAAGTGTTTAAGTACATTTCTCAAATCAAACATCTTAATATAAAAATAAGATACTGAAGAAATGTCGTGCACCTTACAAAACGCAATCAATACATTTGCATGCAGTTCTGAGAATTAAAATACTCTGATAAAATAGACGTGAATCATCTTATACATATCTATTGAACAATTCTGAGAACCGTTTTATTTAACCTTCAAAGATTGTATAGGATTACAAAATGTACAACTATATTTAAACTTCCACGTATCTGTGATATTTTTATACTTTTTCGGAAAAACCAGGTTAATAAACAATGATATAAATACTTATATGATTTTAAGATAAAAATACATGAAAATAGATACAGCATCAAGGCTGTAAAATTACATTTAAAAGTGGAATGATAAGGCTGATACATATAGAATATAATAAAAAAGCCAAAAACAAAGTTACGATATAAGTATATAAAGTTTGAGCAGTCTTTATTTTATTGGGGTCTTATTTCCTCAGGTCTAATGACTGTTTGATAAAAACTAGCTGCTACCACATTTTTGTTTTAAACTAAAAGAGTGTTATGGATCTGTTATATTATTATTAATTGTATAATAAGTGTCAAGATTGATGTTTTAAATATTCAAATTTTATAAAATGAAATCTTTCTTAAATGAAAGATACAGTAATACTGTGGTGGGGGGATATATGAGGCAGGATCAGATTTTTTCAGCATGAAGTAAAATCTTGATGGTGGACTCTTTTGGCTGTGTTTAATTGATTGCAACTGCTAAAGTTAGATTTTTAGCAGGGCCTTGATGATTTACTTTCACATTGTAATCAATTCCATTAGTTTGTCCTCTCAACTTCTCCGACAGTTTTTAATGAAATGAAGAAAAATTGTAATTTTACAGAATGCTTTTACACATACTAATCTTGTGCTTAATGTGTCAGAGTTTTGACTTTTTTGTACTATAAAGATTAACAAAACAAAAACAAAAACAACAGCAAGTGGACTCAGTAATTTTTTGTTCAATTTTGAAAGATGCGCTGTTTCTCTCCAATTAGTTATAGAGGTTATTTTTAAAGAATGGATTGTTTTCTTTATACTTATAAATCATGAAACATGCATTAACCTTCGTCTAATGCACAAATATGTCACAGGACCATAACATGGTTGAACAAACAACTATGAATCATTCAAACGATAAATGCACGAGATACTTGCAAGTCAAACAACCAAAAACATTTCCTCATTAGAATACAATGCCCAAAGCCATATTGAGGGTATACTTTTGTATAGTCTTAAGACTTCACCAATAAAAGTAAGAACATTTCAGCAGAAAGAAATTGTCGTCTGATAAACCCCATCAAAGGATACTAGCTACATGTATATATATTTTAAGTTTCAAAATTTATTTTTGATATGAGATTGTTATTTGACTAACAATTATTGATTTAATTTTTCAGGTTAAAAGTAGAGATTTTTGCCAGTTTTACAATAATTTAGAGACAAAAGATAAAATGGTGTTTTTGTCAATGTTAGCCAGGCAATATGGTTTACATCAAGATATTGTATTAGAAACTGCTAAAAATGTTATAGCTTCTGAGGTAAGAAAAATTTTTCATTGTAAGACACATTAAAAAATGTGTGACTTATATATTTATATTAACCAGTACTGAATGGAAGTATGTCATTTTGATCTATACTAAGTAAACTCAATATTCTGAAGACATGCATTATATAAATGTCTTGTGATTTTATAAATATATGGCTACAACAATTAATGATGGGCAGCTTACATATGTGTACATCTTACTACTAGAAACACTGTAATATGACCAGTAAAGTTTGTCTTTCCATCTATTATACTCCTACATGTCATTCTAGAAAAACAAAAAAATTAAAGAAAGTGTAGTTAATTATTTGACCTAAATTTGCAACAAAATGTGATTCAAGAGTGGCTAAAGATAAACATAGAATATGGAATTTAAGGTTAAATTATGTTTTCTTTTTATATCTGAAATAATAAAAGCATGGATTGTTATTTAAATAGGAAAGAGGTGATGCTGTTATTTTGCGAGTAGAAGAAAGATTGAGACAATCATTAGTCCCACAGTATCAACAGTTATTTAGAAATGTCAGCAGACATGAAGGAGGGGTTAAATTCTTGGTTGACTTGAGGGCTGATATATTAGTAGGTATATGTATAATATTTATACTACACAACAGATTTGTTTGAAATATCACAATTATTTATTTTTTTAATGAGGTGGTGGACACAGTGTTGTACTATTTTTTTCTTTTTTTTTCTACACTATAAAAACAGACTAAAAAATCAAACAATTAAATAAAAATCAAAGGCTTACACTCAACTGTGGCCAAGCTTAATGGAAGTCAAACTTTATTAGATCAACTTGTTAAGGAACGATCGTTGTTATTGGTCAATTCAAACCTTCGACCTCACATAAACTTTTAAACCACACCCAAGCACACCTGCGAAAAATAGAACATGCGTACTGTAAATGATCGAAAGTTGAATGGACTGATCACGTACCGGATTGTGTACTTGATTATTTCATGGCAATTCTAGCTTATATAAATGCACATGTAAAATTTATTGATAATATTAGTTTGTGTAATAATTCTAAGAGGTCCTTTGTTTTAAATTTTTGAACTTGATAACAAAGACTTAACGGTTTTCACGGTGAAATATTGAATCCAACTGTCTCCTCTCAAATATTTCTGGATAATTATAACTATTCATATTCGATCGCCAGTATATCACAGCAGAGACATATAATACAATCGTATTATATGTCTCTGATCATAGCCACCTCCTCGACCCTAAAACTAGGCTCACTTAACTTAACATTTTTTTTTATAAATATGAAACTACATAGAAAATAGAACCCCAATGACTGGTTATAGATGACAACTTAAATTTACATCATTTCATGGCATAATCCAGTAACATTTTAAAGCAGGGAGGATTTGGGTTTTAGGGATTCAACTTGGGATAGTGTGATTTTTTTTTCTGATTCAGTTCACTTGCTTTTGAAAATAAATCCAGGAATTCTCATTAAATTCAGAGCAGGTAACCATGCTTTGTTCCATGAAAAATGGATATGGCAAAACATTGACGCAGTGAAAGGAAATGTACCTTATGTAACTCCAGCGATATAGTTGATGAATTTTATAATTATTTGTTTTGCTGTTCTCAGTTGAAAAATGAATGTAGATTATATATTGTAAATATTTACATAGAAGACCAAGTATCATGTCAATTAAGTCACTGTTTGGTAATGATAAACAATCAGTTTAAAAACTTGTATTTATTCATTAAATGTATGATTAAAAAGGTGAGTCCCTCCTTGTACATGTATTTTGTCATCTTTAATTTCTGAATATTTCGTTAAACGGTTTATTATACATGTATGATTTCATACTCATTTTAGATAAGCATACTACATGTCACTTCGGTGTATAGTTGTCTCATTGGCAATCATACCACATCTCCTTATTTTTATATACTGCAATTGTTTACATTCAATTTTATTACCCTGGTGTGAGTGACGATATAATTATAAATTGTTGATATTACGCTGGTGTGAGTGACGATATAATTATAAATTGTTGATATTACCCTGGTGTGAGTGACGATATAATTATAAATTGTTGTTATTACCCTGGTGTGAGTGACGATATAATTATAAATTGTTGTTATTACCCTGGTGTGAGTGACGATATAATTATAAATTGTTGATATTACCCGGGTGTGAGTGATGATATAATTATAAATTGTTGTTATTACGCTGGTGTGAGTGACGATATAATTATAAATTGTTGTTATTACCCTGGTGTGAGTGACGATATAATTATAAATTGTTGTTATTACCCTGGTGTGAGTGACGATATAATTATAAATTGTTGATATTACCCCGGTGTGAGTGATGATATAATTACAAATTGTTGATATTACAAGGGTGTGAGTGACATCTTGCAAAGAATTCCACTCAAACTTACAGTAAGGTCAGAGAGTTTTCTCTGTAATGAAGACTTCAATGTGACTTTAAGATGAAGAACAGAAATGAAAGTGCTGTTCTTTTGATTTTATTTTTTTTTCATGTGTGTATATCAATTTTTTGTGATAAACTGGTGCATTGTATCCTTTTTTTCTATTCCAACAACTGCATTGAATAAACTATTTGTTAAGAAATTTCTTTGATAATCAGTTTGATTGTTTATTAAAGAATAGTATCAAAGTATTTGGTTAATATTGCTAAATACTATAAATTAATGTTATGATCTTTTTCAGACAAATATTACATCCATATCAAATGAGACAGATTCAGCCTATCTAAGATCAACATCTAATTCAGTCAGAGATTTGTTAACATTGTGGTTTACTGTAGGATTCCTTAACCTGCAGAGAGTTACCTGGGAATCACCATGTGATATGGTTCAAAAGGTGAGACAATCAAAGGGAGATTATCTTCCAAGGTTACCTGCCGAGAGTAACCTGGGAATCACCATGTGTTATGGTTCAAAAGGTTAGAAAATTAAAGGGAAATAATCTTCCAAGGTTACCATTTAGAGAGTAACCTGAGAATCACCATGTGATATGGTCCAAAAGGTTGAGAGAAAAGCAACTAAAATACTGCAAAATTTAGAAATTATTGTGATGTTTTTTTTTTTAATCTGAAAAATGTGATAGTATCAGGTTCATAATTACAAAAACTCCCATTCATAATCTGAGTATTTATTGTTTTTATAAAATTTTTGCAATGGCATTAATTAGATTTCACATTTTATCCGCTGGTCTAGGATTTGCAATAATAAATGCACTAATTAATTTCTGAATTTAAAGTAACTGTGTTATAAGGTTTAGAAAATGAGACAACCAAAGGGAGCTAACTCTTTAACATAAGAATCAGTATGCTGTATAGTTGACAACACACATATATACATTATATATTTTACAACCAAACAGAGAATTTGGCAAAATGGATTGTTTCATACACCAGTCTCAAATTTGTATTTGTTTTCAAATCATACACAAGGTTTTTAACATGTAAGCTATGGTGCTGATTTAAAAAAAAATTGCCAGTGGGATATGTTTAATCTCTGTTCGTGAGTACACAGAGAAAGTAGCATGAAAAAATGTGACAAAAGGTTTGTAATAATATTTTACAGGTATCAGATTATGAAGCAGTTCACCCAATTAGAAATTGGACAGATTTAAAAAGAAGAGTTGGTCCATACAGACGTTGTTTTGTATTCACACACAGTAGTATGCCAAGAGAACCTGTTGTAGTGTTACATACAGCTTTAACCAACGAAATAACCAAAAGCATTCATGTAATTATTTATCTGAACCAAAGCGTCCATTTGTGTCTTACTAATTAATGATATACTTACTCAGATAAATGACTTAATTTAAACTTTTTAATTATAAGTAAATAAATACTTTGAAAGTAATTTTACTCGTGGGATACCAATTTTCAAGATTTTTGTGGATGGCTTTATCCACAAATTTAAGTGTCAAAGGAAATATAACAGCTGTTGTCCAAATCAAGGCATGGAAAGATCCCCACGTAAGTTTGACTACATGGATACAGGCATATAATCTAGAGAATAAATGGAATATCAGCAAATGCACTATGAACTATATATACAACCTCAGACAGATGAATACCCCTTTTATCTTTAAAAAAAACCCTGAACTGTATGACTTTTAACCTTTTAATTCTCATGAAAAATTAGTTTTTATCGATGAAATCCAGACTTCCAGTGATGATATTCGATTATGAAGTGTTCATTTTATCTCCTCATAATTCTTATTTGAAAAAAAAAGATGATTTTGTGTTAGGCTTGCCTTTTTATTTCATAAGAATTAATTATACAATTCAAAGTACATTTGTAGCATTTTTTCATGTTACCCTTTTCTTTAAGTGACATGTTTATGGCCCAATTAACACCTTTGATGATTGTTAATCTGTTGATCATTCAATCTCTTGTTTATTTGTGTCATTACTTCTGATTACATGTGTCCAACAATTAAAATGTTTACTTTGCAATTTCCTTCAATCAAGACAATTGGTAAGCATAGACATCACATGATAATTGAATCAGCTTATTTCCAAAAGCAATTATCTTATTAAAAATTTGATGAATGATGTCAGAAATGAAATGCGAACAACCTTATTTTGCAATGTCCCACAAATCATCATAAAACAACATATGATTATTTTCAAGAATGCTTGTTTCTGCTTCAAATTCTTCACTTGATTTTTTCAGAAAACTAAAATCCAAGAATTTAAGAACCCACGAACATGTAACTTTTGCTCAAACCATGAAAATTAATACCCATGAAAAGTACTAGCACAGTAACAGAAATTTATATGTTGAATTGGGATTTGTTCTAATTTGGAAACAACCAAGGAAACTTTCCTGTGCATATGTAACTTTACATAAGTTATTACCAGTAAATTGTCATAACATTTTTATATAATTTTTTTTGCAGTCAATATTACAGACAGGTCAATTTAAGCCAATCAGAGATGGTGATGTGCCTGAAGAAGATTTGTCAGTGAATTCTGACACTGAGGATTCTTCAAAAATTACTACAGCTATATTTTATTCAATAACATCAACACAAAAAGGTTCTTATTCTTATTTTGATTTTAAAGATTCTTAATGTTCATTCAGTATTAGTATTTTAAATTTTGTCAATTGAAAAACACTGAGCTTGTACAGAATTAATAACCATTGTGTGTATTAAGTCACTTGCATATAAATTTCTGTTAGAGGCTGGATCTAGAAAATGATTAAGCATTAAAATAAGGTAAAAACATAATTGGTGTGGCTTTTATTTAAAAAAAAATGTTCAAAACAGACGTTCTCTCCCCATGTATATTTTCCTAGTACATTGCAGATCACACTTAATTTATTAGGCTGTCAATCAATTTAAGTGTATATCTTTGAAGGAAATCATAGCAATTTAGATGCTCGAGTTTCTTTACTTATACAATTCATGTCATTTGTACATTACACAGTATAGGGGAGATAACTCTATTTATTATATGAAATGAAAAGAAAATTAACAACATGGATTTGAGTTCAATATGAAACACTGATACTGGAGTTGACTGATGAACTATCTATGCTTGCTTTAAAGATACTTAGGTACCCTAACAATCATAAACAGGACTATGCTATAAATAAAAATGTTATGTTGTAATTGATTACTTTCTAGTAGTAATCTTTGCAGTACATGTATCTATTTTTAATTAAAGTGAATACTGAAAAACAAAATGAATAAGATTTAAAGATAAATATACCTAACCAAAACTGTTTAATTGCAGGTCTACAAGGGATAGATTTAGGAAACTATTTAATAAAACAAGTTGTGAGAGAATTGCAGTCAGAATTTCCAAGGATATATCAGTTTTCTAGTCTGTCACCTATACCAGGGTTTAAAGAATGGTTAATCATGGAAATAAATAGAACTATCCATGCAGATGGTATGAACTTAATTCTTATTTTTATAAGCTTGTTTAAATCTTTATAAACATACAATAAAGCATGTGGTACTTGTTTACTTTTCTCAAAAAAATACACAACAAATTGTTAAGAGCATAGATTTAGCTTAGGATATAGGTAAGGTCATATTTAAAACACATTACTATGTACTGAATGGGAAATTCTTCTCAAATTTTGATTGGTTATTTTAAAAATGCACTTCATATTTCACAGTACTTCATCCTTTTTCCATTAGAAAATTAATCTTTAATCATATAAAAGTAATCTTTTTCAGGTAAAAAGCCATTCATTGAATCACTGAGATGAGACGAAATCAAATAAAAAAAATGAAATTGTCTGTTTTCTGATGTGAATTTCTAGCCTTTTGTCAAAAAAATTATAAATTTATAATTTCTTGATTAAACATTTATATCACATTTCTTTCCAACAAACTAATATTGGTTTTCTCATTTGACTTTTAGACCCCTTTACCTATGAGATTTCTATTTTTTTTTACAGATATTGGAGAGACAATGGAAAATCCTTTGTTATTAGACAGCGAAATTGAAAAATTAAAGGGAGTTACCCCTTCAGACTGTTCAAATATGTATGAAGCTTTAAAAAGACTGTTAACTACACATGAATGGGTGTCTAAAGAACACATGTGTAAAGTTCTACACAGTATTTTATTAAGACTTTGTGCTAGGTATTTGTATGTTGAAAAAAGAAGAGGATATGCATTGAATCCTGTCGGTAAGGAGTTTTCAATTTAAATTATACTGTAGAGAGAGGAATTTTTTGTTCTCTCCTAATTATAAACATCTTGTGTAGTAATAAGTCATAATAAAACCTTATAACAGGCCATTAACTTTGATGAATATTCAAAAGAAAGCTAACATTGTTCCCTGACTAACCACCAGGGCTTCCAAAAAATATTTGAGCCAGCTGGACATTTTTTGTCTTGTCCCGATTTCAATACTTAGTAACTTAAGGCAAGCAATTTAATCAGTTGGGCATCATATAAACAATCATGATTGACACAAAAACGATTTTAAACTTGACTTTGATATAAACTCGATGTTCTGATGTAAACTGTTCAATTGACAGTGCATCATTCGAAGTGTGCAACATCAGCGTACTAATATCTGCCTTAGACTCTTTATTTGTGGAAAATTACACTGTCAACAACTTCGCTTTCCATTTAAAAAAAAACCACGTTTTTCTAATACCGGATGTTGACTTGACAATGGTAAAACATGGACCAGAGACGGATACGAAAAATCTGTGTACGTTTACAAAGCACAATTAAGTTTAAGTAGCTTTTCCACGTTATTTCTTCATGAAAATACTCGAAATGAACGTTAGATAAAGGAATTAATGATAATTTTAGCATTTTTGAAAAATTTGGATGCATAATTAAACCTCACACCTGTGCACATGCGCACATGTGTACTAGTTCAAACAACGTGGTTCTGACGATTTTTCCGCTTACAACCTTGATTACTACCTTTTTAATTTTTTCATCAAATCATGTTCATATAAATATTTCTGATAATCTAAATCTTTTCGTCTAAATTGATTAGATGCAAACTGCTGAAATTAAAAAAAAAACTTTTAGATAAATAGACTGATCAGTGTACGGACGACACCAGTACAAAATCGTTTACCTGTTGCATGTAAATTATGATCTTATCCATTTGTAATCGTTTTAAATACGTTTTTCTGACAGTCTCAATCTGTTTCGCTAAAAAGTAGATTTAGACCAGGAATGTTTTTAATTTAAATAAAAAAATAACTTCCAAAAAGATCAATTGATGTCCAGCACAAATAGTTTACCTGACACAGGTGATAACATGTAAATCTCACCAGTTTGACACATAATTAACCTTGATTGTAATGAGAGGGGATTATAGTAGGGCTTGTTTATAGAGTACTGTCACTTTAATGACCAGAAAAATGTAGCTGTTTAAGGCGGTTTACTCCTGGTTTGCCCACATTTAATTATACTAATTATCTTTTAGTAAAAAAACAAAAAAGACAAAAGGTTTAATGAGCATACAATTGTATAGCCTGTTCCAACTTAATAGGTCTATAGTTTATCTGTGTTTTCTATATATTCAGGTATTTTTCATTTTGTAGTTTATATTTCTATAGATAAATGATAAATAAATCGAACATTTTTTTCTTAATAATTTAATATCAATTCAAGCGATTCATTTGACATACAACTAATAACAAAACAATTATGATATAAATACACCAATATATGATAAAATTGTCTTTTATTGCAGACATAATTTATATTATTTATGAATCAAATTTATACATGCATTGCATAAGTAAATAAATTATGCACTACGGTAAAAATCAAGTAATAAGGGGCACTATATATGACCAAACATGAAATTTTGGGTCCAAATGAGGAACATGGTGCAAAATGAGATTTTTTTTCAATAAGTACCTATTTGTAAGAGAAACATTACTGCAAATTTTCAGAGTGATACGGGCTGTAGTTTTATAAGAAATAGCCTTTTGTTACAAATGTTTTATCTCAATAGTGAAAAATAACAATTTTGCCCTTGTTTCTGGTATTTGGTGAAAATTAAAAAAAAAACACAGAATACAACAGCTGTGTTTGTTATTACATCTGTCTAATTGAAATAAAACTACAAGTTTATTGTTTTCTGTTTGGTATTGAATTAATAATAAAGATCCTTTTTGTTACATCTTGTGATCCGTTTATTAGGCAATCGCCAATGGCAGTCAGCAGGGTTTGAGAACATCCGTTGTTCGACCTGTTAGTCAAGTGCGTTTTGTTAAAATATACTTTTTAATATTTTTGGTCTTTTGGGAGATGTTGTTTGTGCCTCTACCAAGAAATTTGTTTTGCATGCACACGTATAAAAATTGCGCTTTTTATCCAACGTAATCATAGGTTTGAACGTTGTTTTCAATTTAGACTTATTTATATATATAGGTTTGAACGTTGTTTTCAATTTAGACTTGTATATATATCTAGGTTAAACAATTAACAAAAAGAAATGATACCCTGTCATCATATCTCTTTAAAAAATAATGAAGTAAAGGATTTGAAATAATTATATATATTTAACAATTCTAATAATTTATTGTTAAGGCAATGCTGGGCGTGTACTTTTCCTATTTTTTGATTTACAATGTCCAGCTAATTTACAGTGTCCACATTTCCTTTTTTTTTTCATTTTCTATTGCTGATTTAGCAAGTTCAGTTATGGCACTCTGGCAATGGGCAAGCTTCTTTATATTTATGCAGCATGGTGCTACTTCTGTGTGTGAAATTATAAACAGCTTGGATGTAAATTTCAGAACAAAGTATTTATTAAAATCAATAAAAATAAATACAGTGAATAAATAAAAAGAATTTTAAATGACACTTATTTATTTTCAAGTTTCATTTATTTACTTCTTACATATTTTGTTTCAGAATGTACCAACAATTTAAAAAAAAATGTCAATAATTTGTCAAACTTATAAACATTTTTTGTATTTTTGTTTTAATATTTGTCAAATTCAATACAATTTTCTGGTAAATTTATAAAATACCTTTGCAACTTTTCCTTGATTTAATAGTAAAATTAAGTATCTTTTATAGAATTTTACAGGTAAAATAAAGATTAGCATATGACTATAATTCAGAAATAAACTATAATTGTTAAAACAACAAAACACCCTTTGTTTTTATAAACCTGCAATTAAATGTGGGCAAACCAGGATGACACCGTTTAAGGCACAAGGTCACCCAAAATGGTTGATTTTTAGCTCACCTGGCCCGAAGGGCCAAGTGAGCTTTTCTCATCACTTGGCGTCCGTCGTCCGTCGTCGGCGTTAACTTTTTACATTTTGAACTTCTTCTAGAGAACCACTGAATGGAATGAAACCAAACATGGCATGAATGTTCCTTATGAGGTGCTGACCAAGTGTTGTTACTTTGTAGCCGATCCATCATCCAAGATGGCCGCCAGCGGGGGACTTAGTTTAACATAGGACCCTATGGGAAATGCATACAAATGACTTCTTTTAGAGAACCACTGAATGGAATGAAACCAAACATGGCATGAATGTTCCTTATGAGGTGCTGACCAAGTGTTGTCACTTTGTAGCCGATCCATCATCCAAGATGGCCGCCAGCGGGGGACTTAGTTTAACATAGGACCCTATGGGAAATGCATACAAATGACTTCTTTTAGAGAACCACTGAATGGAATGAAACCAAACATGGCATGAATGTTCCTTATGAGGTGCTGGCCAAGTGTTGTTACTTTGTAGCCGATCCATCATCCAAGATGGCCGCCAGCGGGGGACTTAGTTTAACATAGGACCCTATGGGAAATACATACAAATGTCTTCTTTTAGAGAACCACTGAATGGAATGAAACCAAACATGGCATGAATGTTCCTTATGAGGTGCTCACCAAGTGTTGTTACTTTGTAGCCGATCCATCATCCAAGATGGCCGCCAGCGGGGGACTTAGTTTAACATAGGACCCTATGGGAAATACATACAAATGTCTTCTTTTAGAGAACCACTGAATGGAATGGAACCAAACATGGCATGAATGTTTCTTATGAGATGCTGACCAAGTGTTGTTACTTTGCAGTCTGTCCATCATCCAAGATGGCCGCCAGCGGGGGACTTAGTCTAACATAGGACCCTATGGGAAATACATACAAATGTCTTCTTTTAGAGAACCACTGAATGGAATGAAACCAAACATGGCATGAATGTTCCTTATGAGGTGCTGACCAAGTGTTGTCACTTTGTAGCCGATCCATCATCCAAGATGGCCGCCAGCCGGGGACTTAGTTTAACATAGGACCCTATGGGAAATGCATACAAATGACTTTTTTTAGAGAACCACTGAATGGAATGAAACCAAACATGGCATGAATGTTCCTTATGAGGTGCTGACCAAGTGTTGTCACTTTGTAGCCGATCCATCATCCAAGATGGCCGCCAGCGGGGGACTTAGTTTAACATAGGACCCTATGGGAAATACATACAAATGTCTTCTTTTAGAGAACCACTGAATGGAATGAAACCAAACATGGCATGAATGTTCCTTATGAGGTGCTCACCAAGTGTTGTTACTTTGTAGCCGATCCATCATCCAAGATGGCCGCCAGCCGGGGACTTAGTTTAACATAGGACCCTATGGGAAATGCATACAAATGACTTCTTTTAGAGAACCACTGAATGGAATGAAACCAAACATGGCATGAATGTTCCTTATGAGGTGCTGACCAAGTGTTGTCACTTTGTAGCCGATCCATCATCCAAGATGGCCGCCAGCGGGGGACTTAGTTTAACATAGGACCCTATGGGAAATACATAAAAATGTCTTCTTTTAGAGAACCACTGAATGGAATGGAACCAAACATGGCATGAATGTTCCTTATGAGATGCTGACCAAGTGTTGTTACTTTGCAGGCAGTCCATCATCCAAGATGGCCGCCAGTGGGGGACTTAGTTTAACATAGGACCCTATGGGAAATACATACAAATGTCTTCTTTTAGAGAACCACTGAATGGAATGAAACCAAACATGGCATGAATGTTCCTTATGAGGTTCTGACCAAGTGTTGTTACTTTGTAGCCAATCCATCATCCAAGATGGCCGCCAGCGGGGGACTTAGTTTAACATAGGACCCTATGGGAAATACATACAAATGTCTTCTTTTAGAGAACCACTGAATGGAATGAAACCAAACATGGCATGAATGTTCCTTATGAGGTGCTGACCAAGTGTTGTTACTTTGCAGTCGGTCCATCATCCAAGATGGCCGACAGCAGGGGACTTAGTTTAACAAAGGACCTATGGGAAATACATACAAATGTCTTCTTTTAGAGAACCACTGAATGGAATGAAACCAAACATGGCATGAATCTTCCTTATGAGATGCTGACCAAGTGTTGTTACTTTGTAGGCGATCCATCATCCAAGATGGCCGCCAGCGGGGGGCTTAGTTTAACATAGGACCCTATGGGAAATACATACAAATGTCTTCTTTTAGAGTACCACTGAATGGAATGAAACCAAACATGGCATGAATGTTCCTTATGAAGTGCTGACCAAGTGTTGCTACTTTGTTGCCGATTTACTGTTCAAGATGGCCACCAGGATATTTTATTAAATAACGGGACCAATATTAATCAAAATTTGGCCTCAATCATTATTTGGGTATCTGTTATGATTTTTATCTATCTTTACATGATTTCTAAAACCAAAGTAGAGTCAGGTGAGCGACACAGGCTCTCGAGAGCCTCTAGTTCTGAATCACATGAACTTTGAAATGGCAAACCTACGTAGGATATCTGTGTAATGCTTGGCCCAGTAGGACAATGTCCGACAAATTTATATTTGTAGGGCAAATGTGACCGTTTTGGATGCCTTGCTAACCACATTCATTTCTATCAACCAGTTCAATAGTACAGATTATGAAAAAAGATATGAACATGCAAAATTTTTTTTTTTACGCCATATAAATTTATTCATGCATTTATGGAAAAATTCATATTATTATAAAGTTGTCAATGTTTTTCTCCAGTAAGATTTTATTTGGTTCTCTTTAAAACATTTGATGGTGATGACAGATCTTTGGTAGTATGATAAAGACTTTGCATATTTTTTAACTTGATATTTGGTATAAAAACAATTATCTGTTGTGGAATACAGTATTTTGATCACTTAGTATCTTGGTTACTGACCTAATATCTATGTTTACTATAACCCGACTTCTGAAACAGGCAATATAGAGATATATAGTGATGGGGGTGTGAGTCTGTCAGTCTGTCTTCTTGTCCTTCTGTATAACTTATATGTCCCTACTGCACCTTAACATTTTTTTCAGAATTATGTGAAACTTTCTCAGAATCTTACTCACATCTATTTCATTTCTTGATCCAAATATTTTTGGGGTTTACTTTGGCATGAGATGGACTATGTCATATCCTTCCCCTACAGGACACATTTGTATAAATTTGACTTCTTCTAAACTCAGAATTAGAATTTAATGAATCCTTGTAGGAATATTATTTTAAATCATATAATGCCATTTTGCACCTCCTATTTTGTTTTTGAACAACATTATGTTTATGATAATAATAATAATAATAATAATAATAAATTCTTTATTTAAAGAGGGTAAACACAGTTACCTTACAATACAATCAAAAACAGATATTAACACATAGTTAATTCACAGTCAAGTAGTTTAATGTATTATTATTAACATAATAAGATATAACTAGAGGCTCTCAAGAGCCTGTGTCGCTCACCTGACTCTACTTTGGTTTTAGAAATCATGTAAAGATAGATAAAAATCATAACAGATACCCAAATAATGATTGAGGCCAAATTTGGTTTAATATTGGTCCCGTTATTTAATCAAATATCCTGAGTGGCCATCTTGAACAGTAAATCGGCAACAAAGTAGCAACACTTGGTCAGCACCTCATAAGGAACATTCATGCCATGTTTGGTTTCATTCTATTCAGTGGTACTCTAAGAAAGAAGACATTTGTATGTATTTCCCATAGGGTCCTATGTTAAACTAAGTCCCTAATGGTGGCCATCTTGGATGATGGATCAGCTGCAAAGTAACAACACTTGGTCAGCACCTCATAAGGAAAATTCATGCCATGTTTGGTTGCATTCCATTCAATGGTTTTCTAAAAGAAGACATTTATATGTATTTCCCATAGGGTCCTATGTTAAACTAAGTCCCCCCCGCTGGCGGCCATCTTGGATGATGGACCAACTGCAAAGTAACAACACTTGGTCAGCACCTAAAAAGAAACATTCATGCCGTGTTTGGTTTCATTCCATTCAGTGGTTCTCTAAAAGAAGACATTTGTATGTATTTCCCATCAGGTCCTATGTTAAACTAAGTCCCCGGCTGGCAGCCATCTTGTATGATGGATCAGCTGCAAAGAAACAACACTTGGTCAACACCTCATAGGGAACATTCATGCCATGATTGGTTCCATTCCATTCAGTGGTTCTCTAAAAGAAGACATTTGTATGTATTTCCCATAGGGTCCTATGTTAAACTAAATCCCCTGCTGGCGGCCATCTTGGATGATTAACAACACTTGGTCAACACCTCATAAGGAACATTCATGCCATGTTTGGTTCCATTTTATTCAGTGGTTCTCTAAAAGAAGACATTTGTATGTATTTCCCATATGTTAAACTAAGTTTCCCCGCTGGCCGCAATCTTGGATGATGGAATGACTGCAAAGTAACAACACTTGGTCAGCACCTCATAAGGAACATTAATGCCATGTTTTGTTTCATTCCATTCAGTGGTTCTCTAAAAGAAGACATTTGTATGTATTTCCCATAGGGTCCTATGTTAAACTAAGTCCCCTGCTGTCGGCCATTTTGGATGATGGACCAACTGCAAAGTAACAACTCTTGGTCAGCACCTCATTAGGAACATTCATGCCATGTTTTTTTTTCATTCCATTCAGTGGTTCTCTAAAAGAAGACATTTGTATGTATTTCCCATAGGGTCCTATGTTAAAATAAGTCCCCCGCTGGCGGCCATCTTGGATGATGGACCAACTGCAAAGTAACAACACTTGGTCAGCACCTCATAAGGAACATTCATGCCATGTTTTTTTTTCATTCCATTCAGTGGTTCTCTAAAAGAAGACATTTGTATGTATTTCCCATAGGGTCCTATGTTAAACAAAGTCCCCTGCTGGCGGCCATCTTAGATGATGGACCGACTGCAAAGTAACAACACTTGGTCAGCACCTCATAAGGAACATTCATGCCATGTTTGGTTTCATTCCATTCACTGGTTCTCTAAAAGAAGACATTTATATGTATTTCCCATAGGGTCCTATGTTAAACTAAGTCCCCCGCTGTCTGCCATCTCGAATGATGGATCGGCTACAAAGTAACAACACTTGGTCAGCATGTCATAAGGAACATTGATGCCATGTTTGGTTTCATTCCATTCAGTGGTTATCTAGAAGAAGTTCAAAATGTAAAAAGTTAACGACGACGACGGACGACGACGGACACGGACGACGGAAGACGGACGCCAAGTGATGAGAAAAGCTCACTTGGCCCTTTGGGCCAGGTGAGCTAAAAAATCAAATCAAAATAAAATAAAAAATACACAAATTTAGGCTTTTCCAAGCAAATAAAAGACTTTGTCATTTTTTTGGGGGTGGACCCGGTGTCATTTAGTGATCTTTGCTTGCAGTTCTCTAGTCCATATTTTACTATAGATAATGGAATGAAAAGTATATTTCTATTCTATTTATGAGGAACACTAAAAAAGCTTTGGTTATTTTGGTTCATAGAATTGTGAGAATTTCTCCTAAACATGTTTTTAATTGGGTATATCATGTATATGTTATTTCAAATTTTTTAACAAAATATGCCTATAAATTGTATTAAAATGAATAAGGAATGAACATTTTTGATTATACTGTATGATTGAATTCATACAAGGATTGATTTCATTTACATTTTTTTTTGTGGGTACAATGTACCAATTTCCATGGATTGAAGAAAAATTGTAGTTTCACTGATATCTGATTTCATGATTTTGCTATAGCTGGCATACAAGCCTATAGAAAATTTGTACTTGGTTGAACATATGAATTCATGGATTATTGTTACCCACAAAATCCACCAAAAAAGTGGGAACCCACGAATAATAATGAATCAATAGTATCATAAACATGATAAAGATAACAGATTACTGCAAAAATATTAACATTCTGCTGTGCCCAAGATTTGACCCTGACTGACCTAACAACTTCATAGAACAAATTATGTCAACACTTGATGTGGAATGTTATTGCTTTTGATATTAAAAGTGCTAGACAATAATGTGAATGTATACCATGACATAGAAATGAATTTGTAAGTGCAAAATTTCAATAGATCATATATATTGCATATGAAAATCTACGAAAAGGATCTTTCAAAATTTCCTTGTTAGAGCAGTACATTGTTAAAATTCAGTAGTGTTTTATGGTAGGGTTTTCTATATGACATGTATCTTCATGATAGATACAACTGGAACCATGAATCTGAAATTCAATTTTGTTTACCTGAATTGACACATTATCTGCAAAGTATTCTGTAAGTTTGGTAAAAGATACTCATCTTTCTTCATACTTTATAATTCAAATTCAGCTATTTGATGAAAATAATTTTTTTTAATATAGATAATTAAATAAATCCATGTTTTATATTTCAGCAAATTTTCACCTGAGTAATGGAGCCGTACTTTGGAGGATTAATTGGTTAAGTGACATGTCCATGAGAGGTATCAATCAGTCATGTGGAATGATGGTCAATTATCGTTACTTCCTAGACAATACCACTGAAAACAGCAAACGATACCTGGAGAACCATCACATTGAAGCTTCACCAGAAATCGTAGAATTAGGGAGTTTAAAAAATGTGAAGAAAGATACAGATGAATAGACACATTTATTTGTTTTCATAGTATATCAAAGCTCTTTTCTAAAGAAATATGAGGATTGAAAAAAAAGATATGTTGTGTTTCTTGTTATGGGAACCAAATGTTCCATTTCTTTTTACCTTGACACAAATGTAGGCAGTGCTAAATATGGTAAAAAAATTGTTCCAATTGTAACTTCTCTACAGTCTAGTTCTTACTGGTGACAACTCCATTAATTTATGTCCAAACTTCCAGCTAAAACATGCAGAAGAAATATTCATTTCAGCCCATTAATTACATTTTGAACCAAAAAGGACGAAATGTTCATTTGAGGATTTTGTTTGCATCAAAGCTTGATTTACAGGAAATAATATTTACAAAACAATCTTCAGTAATGAGAACCTACATTCATTTGACTTTTAAATTTCAATTTTTATTATATTTTTACACAAATATTACACTTTCTTTGAAACTAGGGCTGTTCCAAAATTTATCTTGTGGGGGGAATGGGAGGCACTCAAATTAATAAGATATAGGTGGCATTTTCCTTAGAATTTTGTGAGAATTATAAGAAAAATGAAAATTTTTCTTTTATGTGTGGTAAGGGTCTTAAAAAAGTGCCTAAAATACCCTCCCTCCCCCTCCCCAAGTGTTTATTTTTGGAACAGCCCTTAAAGTTTGTTTTTAATTTTAAAAAAAATAACCTTGCTAATGTTCAAATTTAGATACCTGTATTACCAAACACAACATTTTTTTTTCTCAGTCTTAAGAATTGTGACTGATAAATTGAAATTTTGCAGCAATCATCAGTTGCAAAGTGTTCATAAAGTGTAGGACAAATCAGATTGTTTGTAAAAGGCAGCAGTCATTTAAAGGTCTTCCAAAGATTCATGAAATCCGTTTTTGCAAATGTAGTCTATATGAAATATGTATACTTTTTTAAGAGTTTAGGCTTTTATTTATTGTAGTTGAGTGTGAATGTTTCATAGCGAGAATGTTTTTAAAAGTGTAGCACTAAACCTATTGAATCATAAATCATAGATTAGTCATGTATTCCTGACTTCAAAAGTCATAACAGAAACTTAACAGAGTTGTGTAGAAAATAGTCAGAATCATATTTTTCTAAATTTTTTGTGCAATATATTATAATTAATCATGAGTAAGAAAATTATACAGAATAAAATTCTGTCATTTCAGTGAGTTATTTAAAGATATGTTAAGTATTTCGGTGATTCCTCTAATGAATTTTATGTGTAATTAGATTTTGTTATACATACTATATAGCTCGTTACTTTTGTGTATGTAAAATTTAATGTCCAAAAAAATTGATATTTAGGACAACTAAAATGTCACTACTTCAGGACATAACTTATGATAATCAAAACATTTAGAGTCAACACATATGCTTTTAGATAAATATTGTTGACTAGTCACCGAATTTGGAAAACTAAGTTTTCTTTTCCATTGGTTATTTTGTGAATTTGGCTCCATTAAAAGCCCCTTCTCAAGGTTTTGATGAATAAGGTACTATGAATCATTTCTCCATTGCTAAACAAATGCAATAAACAAATGAAAATATCATCATGTACTGTCTTTGGTTAGTGTCCTATTGCTTAGGACTAAAGGTCATTTCATTGCTCTTACCCCAAAATGAAATAATGTCATGTCATTTGTTACATTTCCTTTGTGACCAAAAAAAGGACATTTTTGACCAATCGCAACGTTTTAGTGTATGCTTTAAAATGGGACTTGTTAATATCTCACATAAATTATTGGGGCATGGGGTTTGTAAGCTTGAGTAATGAAGGTTCTTTTATGATCTCCTAGATGTTGCTTGGTTATTATAAGTTGTGTGTTACTGTCTGTTTGATGTATATAATTATTTTTTTTATATCTTTACAAAAGTCTTCATATGAGTATGGTACAGAGATGTATTAGCAAAAAAAAAAAAAAAAAAAAAATGCTAGAAAAATGTTCAAGTATAATGAAACTTCAACAAATTCTTCTCTCAGATATCTTATTTGGTTTTTTTTTGTGTATTTTTTTTTTATCAAAAATACTTTACAGTAGTATAAGAAATTTTAACTTTCACATTTATTGTATGATGATTCTCTGTTTAATTCCAATAAATCTAAATACCAATAAAAGAATAACAATACTTTGTTGGAAAATAAAAATAACCCTTTATAAATTTGGCCTGAAGTTCTTTCCTGTATTTACTGTGATCATTTGTTCCTATCAATTGGGAATGTGATGGTAGCAAATGCAGTTTTTCTAGTCATACAGTGCAGATCAAGTGAAATGAATACCTTCAACCTTCAAATTAATTATAAACTGTGACAAGTCTTCAAACACAGTACTGTTTTTCCTATTCTAATGCAATATTATACAAGTAAAATGTGAAAAAAACAACATTTTAAATATATTGGAAATGTTAACTGCATTTGTGCACCATTGTCAGCAATACTGGGACTGACAATCTTGGATTGTTGGCAAACATCATCCCAATCAAAAGTGGTGTTTCATATCATATTGTGTAAGAACACATGTTTAGTGGATTAAAGTAGAATTTGTAAATAAACAATTTAATTTGTAATAATGTCAACTATCTTAGTTTTCAGGTAAAAATGCAATGCACAAACCTTTTTTTAAGATTCAGTGCCATATAATATTTTTATGTTCTATTTATAATTTGAGAAACATGTTTATCATGTACATACTTATATTCTGTTTTCAAGCCATAGGTTGATTAATTGTTACTGTTGTTACATTTGTATGTTTAAGGCTTCATTGAGGTGATTCATCAGCCATTATATATCAAAATGTTAATGTATTTAATGATAAGTTGCTGTCGAGAAAGAGTGGCAAATAAAAATATCTATGCAGTTTCCATCTGTTGCTTTGTTATTTGTTCTAGTGATTTTTTTCAGACTTTTGTGTGGAAAATGATAAAAGTGCCTTATTCATGGTTAGTATTTTTATGCCCCCGCCGTAGCGGAGGGGGCATTAAGTTTTACCTTTGTCCGTCTGTACGTCCGTACGTACATCCCAAAATTGGTTTCCATTCTCTAACTTGAGTTTGCCCCAACCAAATGTTATGAAACTTATACACAATGCTTATTACCACAAAATACAGATCAAGTTTGAATTTTGGTAGAGTAACTCTAATTGTTCTGGTAGAGTAACTCTAACTGTTCTAAAGTTATGCCCCTTTATAAATGGAAAATTTACAAAATTTTTAGTTTCCTTTCCTTTTCTTAAGTTTGCCTCAACCAAATGTTATTAAACTTATACACAATGCTTATTACCACAAAACACAGATCACATTTGAATTTTGGTGGCATCACTTTAACCGTTCTAGAGTTATGCCCTTTATAAATGGAAAAATTGCCAAATTTTTAGTTTCCGTTCTCTAACTTAAATTTTCTTCAACCAAATGTTATGAAACTTACACACAATGCTTATTACCACAAAATAAAGATCAAGTTTGAATTTTGGTGGCGTCACTTTAACCATTCTTGAGTTATGCCCCTTTATAAATGGAAAAAAATGCAAAATTTTTAGTTTCCGTTCTCTAACTTAAGTTGCCTCAACCAAATGTTATGAAACTTATACACAATGCTTTTTACCACAAAACACAGATCAAGTTGAATATTGGTGGCGTCACTTTAATCATTATCGAGTTATGCCCCTTTATAAATCGGAAAATTGCAAAACTTTTAGTTTCCGTTCTGTAACTTAAGTTTGCCCCAACCAAATATTATGAAACCTTTACACAATACTTATTACCACAAAACTCAGATCAAGTACAAATTTGGGTAGCATCACTTTTATTGTTCTTGAGTTATGTCCCTTTATAATGTTGTATGCAAGCGGGGGCACCATCTGTGTCCATAGGGACACATTCTCCATTTATTTTTACAATGTTTGTGTTCAACTGCTGTTGCAAGAGCTCATGATTTCTTTAAGATTAATAGACAAAGATTGTAATGACATGTTTTAAAAAAGACATAATCAAAGAAAAATATTGGAACCCTATAGATATTAAATACAAACCATGGGTGCAACACAACAAAATTTTAGTAGCACTAATAGATTGTTGGAAATATAATCACTATACAAGTTAATAAACAATATGTTAAGGTAATAACTCTAAAATCATTGATCTGAATGTGTTTTGTAAATATATTCTAAGCTTTTAAATTACATGTATCACTGGTTATTTTAATTCTGTATAACATTAATGCCAACTAGGTGTTGATGAACATGTCTATTACAAACACCTTACTGATTTAAAGAGTTGTCTCCCTCAACAAAGATGTAACTTGTAAAGAAATTCAATTATGACGTCAAATTTTCTTACTTTCCTCTAAATTTCCTTTTGTGATGTCACGAAAAAAGGGGACCATGGCTGATGACATTACATAGAAAGATCAAATCTTTTTGCAGGTAATTGGATAAGAAGGATTTTGTTTGTCTGAATATCGTCTAAAATTATTTAGAGAAACAGATTCTGCCTCCAAATCTTGTCAATACGATATTTCTCCACCCTCGCGTTTGTTGATTGTACTTACGGCCCCTCCTACGTGTCTGCTGTAACTATAAATTTAACACAGAAATTTAAATACATGTACTTGTCAATATTATGAAGTTATGTAACTTAATGGAGAAAAAATGTCTATTAAAATAAAATTCTATTGCGAGTATAGGTTTTCAATTATAAACACGTGTTGCAGGATCTCAATATTGACAACTTCAAGTCTAAGCCTCTAGATTTTACCTGTGCTAGTTTACCATATATAATCCATCTGGTCACCCTATTACTGATGCCATGAACGTTGTAAACAACACTTCTCTCCGAAATGTGTTAACCAAAGAGACTAAATTTTGTGAGCCTAAACCCATAAAATGGAAACACAACTTTAAAATAATAATAGATTCAGTCGAGGATTGTGTCAGGCAATGGGCTAGGTGGACTTTCTTTCGGTATGGGTTTATGCTGTCAGGTCGTTAATACAAAATGGAGTTTATAAACAGAATGGGTATTTGAACTCTTGCTTCATCGATCTTTAAAGATCCAAAACGTTTCCAAACCTCTTTACAAACTGTTAATATGCATCAATAATATCAGAAGTCAATACCTTGTTTTACAGATACTGTGAAACTACATACTTAAGGGCCATGTAAATTTGATCTGATGTGGATACTTGATGTTTAACTGATTAAGGATAAGCCCAATGTTGTTTCATGAAAAGAATGGCCAAAGTAGATACAGATATCCTGTTTTAGAAGGGTTAACTCGTACTTTCTAATAAAACACTCTGATTTAAAAGAAAACAAAATTCTGAAAACATTTAAACATTGACAATTAGGGTCGGTTGAGAACAAAAATATACGACAAAAGATTACAACTTCCAAATTATGAACTCTGCATTTCCATGTAGCAACATTCTAGCAGAGCTTGCATATGAAGTATCCTAATTGAGCGTTAACCCTGACCTTGCGTTTCCTATGATAATTTCCTTGACACAAGGTTGCTGCTAACAAAGAAGCTATTAAACCATTGATTCCAGGTGTTAAAGTTGAAGTATGCCAAATCTGGTTAAGAAAATAGTGATGTTTCAAAAGAACGAAGAACTGTCGATACTGATTCCTGCAAACCAAGATGTCTGTCATTGCCTATATTAGAAAATGCTGTGTTTTAAAACAAATCAGATAACACCAATAGCTGATCCTGTTAAAATATTTTGGGGAAAATGGTCTTCAGATGGTTTTTCATGCTGACAATGACACTGCAACCTGTCGAATATGGCGCCACCATTGAATTTATGTTTACAAACTAATCTATAGGGTGTACGTAGGTTTTTTCAAATTCTCAGAAACTACAGAAAATGCTAGTAAAAATGTGACACATATGTCTGTCGGGTGACCAACATGACCAACATGACTGATACAACTGCAAAGAAGGCAAATGAATAATGGCGTATTATTGCATCTTCTTATTTTCATATATAATACATTTAATTGTCATTTGTTTTAAAGATAATCAGCTTTAATAAATGATTTCTTTATGAAATGGTCCTCTGTTCGTCCAATATAGCCAGCATAAAAAATTAGACAACGAAAGAAAAATGCAAATAACAATCAACGAAACAATTCATAGAACACTGAAGATTAAAAACACAAAGCCCACCAAAAACACACCGGCATTGTCCAAACATATAGAGTAACTTCGTCTTAAGAATAAAACCCAATTCTGGTAGTCAGTGCTCCAGTATTGGCAAAATCAAAATGACACATCATTTCTGTAAATTTCTATTTCTTTTCTGAACTAAATCGCCAGCGTATCAAGGATGAAATTCATTGAAGAAACACATGAATGGAGCCAAATGGAAACCATATTATCATGTTTTCATGCTTCTTTCTTAAGTGCCAGTCTTTGTAAGAATCAGGCAATTTAGAAAAATTTCAAAACATGGCCGAAAAAAACCCACCGACCAATCTATCCTATTTTGAAGTTACCCTCATCCTGAGTTAGAAATGGTAGGTCTTTTGTTTCTGCTGTTCTGGTAATTCGAGAAATGTCTAGATAACTTTTGGTTAGAATGATAGCAAATTACAGAGTTATCTCGCTTTAATTGTTAATTTCTAGTGCATTTCAACCAAATTATATCTTGAGTTACCAGAACAGGAAGAGGAAACGAATGTTATATTCGTGCAGCATGATACAATTTGAACATAAATTAATGTCAAATTGAGTGGGGTTTTTTTTGTCATGTTTTCACCACTGCCTGATTCTTAGGCAGATTGTCACTTAAATTTAAAAAAAATGAAAAAAAAATAATTGTAATAGAATAGAATAGAAAAGAAAAGTTTTATTTTCCCAAATTACAGGGCCCATAGAGGGCATAAAATCAGTCACAATTGATTGACATAATTGATACAATTCATGAAATTACAACAATAAACATCACAGTGTACATGAAAATGTATATTTAGTATATTAGCATTGGTCAGAATCAGAGCCAACAACAACAATATATATTGTGAATGCACAATAAAATAATAAAATTACATTATATGCATTCATTCTCAAAATATTTACGACTTAGTATCGATATTCATTTTGAGTTCAGAACCGTGCTAGTTGTTAGCTACATCAAATCCGAATTTCTCGTTATTGTCTCTTCAATTAAAAACAACTTGACTTCGAGTAAAAGATTACCTTGTCTGTAAATGACAAAACCCTTCGTAATTTTGGGTCCTCAATGCTCTTCAATTTCGTACTTTAACTTTTTTTTATTTGAGCGTCACTGGTGAGTCTTTTGTTAACAAAACGCACGTCTGCCGGCCCAATTCTTTAACCTGATATGCGTGATGAGGTTATTTACAACCACTGTGTTGATGCCACTGCTGGTGAAGGTTTCCTCCTCCATAGAATCACCAGCCCAGTAGTCAGCACTTCTGTTTTGACATGATTTATAATTGATATGGTCATATTCATCAATCTAACTGTTTATAAATTTTGAATTGTTGGAAATACTAAGGATTTTCTACCCTAGGAATAGATAACCTTAGCTGTATTTGGCAAAACCCTTCGAAACTTTGGATCCTCAATGATCATTTACTACGTTCTTTATTTAGCATTTTTAACTTTTTTGATTCGAGCGTCACTTATTAGTCATTTGTAGACGAAACGCGCGTCTGTCGTACATAATTTTAAGCCTGGTATCGATGATGATTCTATCTGTTAAATTTTTTGTATAAGATTTCCTGATAATTTTGTTATTCTGCATCATAAAATTATACAAGCAGAACAGACCTTTGATTATTCCAAATTAGGAATAGAAAGGAAATAAAGTATATCATGGGATACGCTCCCTTTTCT